AATATACAAGAACAAAACTCAGATGCCGAATCTAGTAGAACTACTGAACTCAGAAGCCCAAATAAGTACTTCCAAATCAGACGGCAAAGTATGGTTCACTTCCCTCGATTTAAAGTATGCATTCAGTCAATTACCTTTAGATGATTCCGTAAGCAAACTAAGTAACTTCAGCATCGCATGTGTAAAGTTTATGGTCTAACAGACATGCCAAAGGAGTTCTGGAAAGCGATGGACAACACAGTTCTAGGCATACAAGGAGTATTTTGTTTAGTTACAAAACTGTACAAGGAAGAATTTGCACTCAAACAAAGCAAATGCGATTTCTCAAAGACCAACCTATTTTGGCTGGGCTTTTCAAATAGGCACAGTTATTAAACGCTAACACTCAAAGATAGAAGCTGTTTTAACATTGCAACCACCGATATCGCTCAAGCAACTTAGGTCCTTCATGGGTGTTCTGAACCACATGTACCGTTTTATACCGAATCTCCATATGCACACAGAACCTCTTCGACAATCAATAAAAGCAAGCAACAAGGAAAAAATTGTTTGGAGCAACCAAGCAGATACGGCATTCCAAAATATACTGGCACGAATCACCGAAATACCGAAGATGTATCACTACGATGATTCCAAACAGTATTAGGCTCCGCATTGGAGCAGGAGCTAGAACCAGAAAAATGTTTTCCTATCGCTTTTACCCCGAGATATTCAAATTCTGCAGAACAGAAGTACAGTACGAACGAATTAGAACTACTTGCTGTTGTATGGTCTTGCGAGTGCTTCCGAAATTACCTCTTAGGAAACCAATTCCAAATTCTAACTGACCACACGGCCATCGTCTTAGGGCTCACTGAAACTCGATGAAACAAGTCATATCACCCAAGAATAACTAGATGGGCTGATAGAATGTTATCGTTTGAGTACTCTATTTCACATATCGCTGGAGCTAGAATAGGAATGGTAGATCATTCCGAGTGACATGAAGTTGTTCACTACTGGGCTACACAACATTCTGGATGCCGATTTTTTTGTGAGAACTGACTACGGAGGATAGCCAGCTGGTCAGCTGAGGAAGCGCAACCTAGGGAAAGACAGGGAGGGATTCCTCAGACTAAGAAGCTTCATGGCCAGCTTCTGGGACGACGCTGCGGAAATCAACGACTGCATAGTAATAGACAACAGAGTAGTTATCTCAACGTGCTTGAAGAAAGCAGTGATGTCCAGACTTCATAGGAAGTATCCGGGCCAAGAGACTATGATTGACGCGGCCGAATATCTCTGGTGTCCCAAGATGCATAAAGGAATCATCAATATGTGCCAGTCGTGCTGAGTGTATTAGCATTCGGTTAGAACTTTAAAAGGTCCAAGTCGATTAATTCTTCAGAACCTCTGACAAATCTTTCCGGATCAAATGAAAAACTTCAATTAGACTTTTAAAACCTATTTTTGATCAAAAGGGGAAAAAGATTTTAAATTTAGTCGCAATCGACAGATTTGCAAAGTATCTGCTCTTATAATTAGAAATTCAGGGAGTGAAAAATATATCAAATCAGTCAGCATAGCATTCCGCGGTTTTTGAGAACAGGTCAGTATTCAGGATTCGAAAACGCCAAAATAGCTGAGTTTTGTAAATCTAAACAAATAAATCAGATTTTCTACCCTGTTGGAGATCACCGTGGCTGTGGTCTCGTTGAAAATGTATTCAGACAATAAAATCCAAACTAGGTTTAGTTTAGTTGGATTCAAACTTTGACATTCAATCGGCAATTAAAATTATATTGAAGATATCCGCACAACACGGCATACAATTCTCAAAAATAGCCATTGGAGCTTCACTATGGTCGTTAAGCTAATACTGAATGGGCACTATTTAGAAGAAAACTTAACAATTCTGTAAATTCAGATCAGGAGAAACTTGATAGGTTGATGCTGAAACCAGAAGGATTCCAGGACGAGACTAAAAGTGGCGAGGAAAAAAACGAATAGCAGAGACGTCTCACCAAAGTTCAAGAAGAAGGAAAATGAAACAGAGTGTCAATTCACTGGAAATTTTGACCACGATGGCAATGACTGGAAACTTCATGAGAGACACTTGAACCACAAAAAAAGATCGGAGGCACTAAGAAAGTTAACGGAAAGGAACCCGTTATTTGCAGCGAGTTTAAGGAGTGAATTGATTCAAGGAATCTTAAGATTGAGAGTTAAGCAAGAAATGACTGTGCAAAGAACGAAGACAAGGCCCCTTGAGTTCAACTCAGTTCATTAGTCGGAGAAGGTGAAGGTTTACAGGAAAAAATTGGATAGAAAATCAGGAAAATCGTCAAAATCACTAACAAAACTTACATTACGGATAATGCAAAGGTGATCAAGAAAAGTCACATCTTGATTTAATCACTTAAGCCTTAGTTCACTCCATCAAAATATTCAGATTTAGGTATAAAGCGATCATCAGCGAGCACTCCGAGGAAACCTCTGCATCAATGTAGTTCCGGTAACCCGAGCAGGCCAATAGCAAAACTACCGAGACCAGATGTATATCCGGTAAAATTACCATCAGGGGGATCAGAAACTGAGATTAAAATGGGCCCTTCAAGAAACTGGGTCATCCAAGAAACTATCATCCAGTTGTTCACCAGAGCATGAGGTTCAAGTAGTACCCAGTGGGATACCAGAAGGTGGCGAGCCAAAGTCAAGTGGCAGGGTAAAATGTGGAGGCAGAAAAATGCCCGATTACAATAATCCCAGCAGTCCCGGCGACACTGAATAGTTCAACAATAACGACGGCAACAGCAGTAGAGAAGACGACGACCTAACCAGGCATGTCAGAAGACACTTAAAAGGACACGGTGACGAGTCAAGTAACGGATTCAACGGCCGCGACAAAGAAGACATCGGATAAAGCAGAAGATTCAGCGCCCACAAAACAGGCGGGAAGAGAACAACAGGGTTCCAGCAAAGACGGTGACAAAAACTTGCAAGTTTCAAAATCCTGAAAAAAGTCATCTGGAAAAAACAAAAGATAGACTCACTTTTTTGGTAGTACTTTTAAGCACTTGGTGAAGACAGTAGAAGAGAAGTCGCAGCTATCAACGATACCAGTTTAGCCGGAAGACCTACCTACTTCCTACTGATTCAGTGTCGAGGCCAATTCCACACAGGAAGCTACAGAAATCAAAGTTCAGAGCATACAAACCAGATCAAGTGCCGGGAAAGAAAAGAACTGGAACTAAAATTTTTCAAAACGTACTTGTTAATTGTTATTGAAATTACATACGCATGTATGAAGTTTTTTCGAGAGGGGGAAATGTGGTGGAGGTCAAGTGTCCACCAAGTGTTACGTACTGTGATAACATGAACGCTTTTAACTATTCTGCTATGTGAAAACAGAGACCTGTCAATTAAGTCTAGAGACACGGTTAACTCTATGATGCTAAAACCAACACTCTCTCGACAGCTAGTGAAAGATATAGTTGCTCATACATATTCAATTGATTCTCTTATTTTTATTTTATTTACTTACTATTATAATACAACATTATTTTAATCAAGTTATATATAAGATCTAGGGGATATCACCCAGATTAACGTAAATTACATCAGATTTACGTAACAATTGCATAACAACACTGACATTCTGTTGTTATGTTGAAGAACAATTTTAATTTTTGGCTTGTTTGACTGGTAATCCTATTTTCGGTTTGTTGGCCTTTCAGCTTGGTGGCCTATCAGCAGTTTTTGACCGATTAATTTGCTCAAGGTCCCCGATGTTGCCAACAATTCGGCGACTATAAATCTAAGATGAAGATATGCTTGAAAGTAATCTAAAGGCAAGAGGCACGTCCTCTAGTGGCTAAAGCACGTGATTTTTGGTCCGATGGGATCTTTCTTCTTTTTTACCATTTCAAAGAGCTACGGGACTAATTTTTCGACTATCGCGGCCGAGATACGGTGTTTCCAGAGTTGGTCCGCGACTTAAAAGCCTGTCCAGACAATAGATTTTCATTCGCGTAATTAACATTTCCGCGACCGACAAAGTCGAAAAATTAGTCGCCGACCTCGATCCGGATTGTTTTCGTAGTGCAGCTTCGCTTCTGTGCAATTTTCATTTTTATTACACTATTTATATAGCATGAACTATATCAGGTCAATTAATGCGCTTTCAATGCTTCTTGTATTTCAGACATATTCGGAACTCGTGAGTGAGTGTTTCAAGCTTCTCATGGTGAGAACAGGAGCAAATTTAGGTCCCCGTTTGTACTATTTTGAGATATCCGTTTTTGGCTGACTGACCTTAAATTTTTTTCTAAAGGCGCCTTAGGCGCCAATCTATACCAATTTTGAGGGGGAGCGCGCGCCGAAAAAACGCGATTGTTGGTTCAAACTTTCCAAAAAAGGCTCAAAAACCCCATTTTCAAAAGATCTAGGAATTTCCCGACCCCCATCGAGAAATCTCTAGATCCGCGCCTGGGTGAGAATTTGGTTTTTTTGGTATGTACTCGTTAGGTTCCTCTATGCGTGGCGACTTTTTTGCTTCCGAGGTTTTTCTTGTGAGCCTTTTTAGTGCTCCTTTTCGTTGCTTGTGTTTGCAAAATGCAGCTGCGGCTTGTGTCAATATAGCTCGTGAAGCCAAGTTAGCACCAGAGCCACCTACTGCCAAAAGCCTTCATTAAAGTTTTTAATCCTAAAAGATACTGTGGTCGGAACGTGCTGTGCTTCTTGTACAGTCAACGAGTGATCCTTTTTTTTTATTTTGCTACCATTTCACCTTTTTTTGCAAAATATACCTTTATGCTGGAAGGAGGAAAAAAACTGGATTATTGAAGTTTTATTGAATGCAGTTATATCAATTATTGCAGTTTTATTGAATTTTTGAAATTCTTTTTATGCCTGCTGGAAAAATTGAACAAAATCAAATGTTTCAATGTAATAATTTTTTTTCAATGATCGAAAGTATTTTGCAATGAGCTGAAATGATCTTGTTTTGCTTCTTCTTTTAGGCACCCGAGGAGAGCTGTAGTGACAGGTTCAAGACGTGGGTGATTCGAGACACAGAGAGCACCGCCATCTACAACTCAGCGGGGATGGCTTTCGCGGTACAAATTAAGCTTTAATAGTGTCGGTCCGTAAGAAACTCGAAGATGCTCTTCTTATGCTATTATAATTTGCGATGTCATTTTGAACGAATAAAAAATTGTTGATCATTGATTTACAATTTCCGAGCTCTCCGCCATTTTTTGAAGCTGAAAGTTCACGCTTTCAAGAAATTTAAATATCGTTATCTTTTTGCAGCGGTGTTTGCCGTTTTTAAGTTCTGTTACCTGATTATTATAAAATATTTGTGAGTAACTGCTTTTCTTTTTTACCTGAAGACCCGATTGGGTGGTTTTGGGTTAACCGTTAGCACAGCCACTTAGCAAATATCCATTACACCTAGTTAACTAGTTACCCGGGTTGACCTCCATGGGGCAGTACAACAGTGCCGAAAATGAAAACTTTGTTCAACATTACAGAAAATTCGAATGAATTTCAACATATTAAGTGCGGCAATCAACAATTAAGCGGCGATCGTTTACAATCTTAAGTAAAACTTTAAGATTTAGAGCGAGAAAGCTTGCAACCTAGACGTTATGGCCTGGAATAATTGCAACCTGGAATCATTGTTTAATTTTCAGGGGTGCGTTCAACAGTGCCGAAGTACAACAGTGCCGAAAAAGGCGGGAAAATTTCAGATTAATTTAAGTGCGTATTCTAATGAGCGGGAAATTACTTACGCTAATTAACAAAGAAAATCACTCCAATTTTGGCGTCAAAATGTCAGCAACTGCAAATTAAACAATTATTTTGGCGCGAGAACGTCTAAGTTGCAAGTTTTCTCGCTCAAAATTTTAAAGTGTCCCTTAAGATTGTAAACGATCGCTGTTTAATTTTTGATTGTCGCACTTAATATGTTGAAATACGTTCGAATTTTCGGCACTGTTGAACAAAGTTTTCATTTTCGGCACTGTTGAATTAAATTTTTTTTTCGGCCCTGTTGTACTTCGGCACTGTTGTACTGCCCCATTTGCAGTTGCAGACATTTTGGCGCCGAAATTGGAGTGATTTTTGGGGCTATTCTCATGCGCGAAGGACCGAATGGGCGAAAAAACTCGTGAGCGAAGGACCAAAACAAAATTAGTCGAAAGTCATTTTTTGAAAAGAAGCAATTGCCATTCAATTAGAATGAATTAAATGAAGCAAGGTTTTCCTTCTTCGTAACGAAACCCTTGAAATATAAAATTTGTTCCAATTCGACGGCGGTCAGTGACAATTTGTGAAATTTTGCATGTGTCTGCCGTTTTTTTATTCGGTCAATACCAATATTCAGTCCCTGGAAATGCTTACTTTCTTTTCAAATTTTAGATTACTGAAATCTGATTGGCTGATTTGTATTTTCGTGCATTCGGACTTTCGCGCATGAGGGATTCCACTGTGATTTTCTTTGTTAATTAGCGTCTATAATTTCCCGCTCTTTAGAAAAATGCGTATAAATTATTCTGAAATTTTCCCGCCTTTTTCAGCCTTGTTGTGTTTCGGCACAGGGAGGGTTCTCATGCTTGAGGAAGTAAATGCTTGAAAAATTTCAACCAATCAAAATCGCTAAGCGTTCCTATTGGCTAAATGCCTTTCTCGCAACATCGAAGTCAATATTAACAGAAAATGTATTAAATCAGTGGAAAATAATCAAAAATATTACAAGTTGCGGGTTACAACCGCAAAATTTCTCAGATAAACATCAAGATTTATGAGTTCAAAATCAGAAGTATTTTGCAGTCTAGAAAACTTATCTGCTTATTATCTAATCGGTCAATATTAACACTTTTCTTATTTCGAGATTTTCGCGATTTACTTTTAGATTTTGAATACTCAATTCTGATTGGCTGAAATTAAACTAAAATTAATGTCAAGCATTTGGTCCCTCAAGCATGAGGGACGCCACCCTTCGGCACCGTTGAACGCCACCCAATTTCCATATTTGAAAGTTGTATGACTAACAATTCTTTGATGACTGATGCCTTGATCAATGTTTATATATGCCTTGATCAATGTTTGATAATTTGAAAATTCTAATTTTAAAAATAATCATCTTTGAAAAAATTTGCCAAAATTTTCAGAAATTTTTAAAAATATCTTTTTGGTTTATGAAAAATGCGTATCCTACATTTTCTATATAAAAAAATGCTTGACTTAGAGTTTTCTTAACATTTTCTGTATCTAAGGAATTGTACGAAATTGTCTGAAAAGCCTTTTTTCATATATGAAAATTGGGTCCAAAATAAGATCCTCCCCCTCAAAGCCGTTGGGGGGGGGGATGGTTGTATGTTAACTTGGAACTTGGTTCTAAGTTAGAAATTTTCAGCCAATCAGAATCGAGTCGAGCATTTTACAAGCAGCACTTAGCAAATTTAATGCTGGGATAGAAGATCTTAACTTGATCCGAACATAGTAGGATAAGCATTTTTGGTCAACCCGGGTAGTTGTTCCGTTTAAGTGTAGTGCATATCATGTTTATTTATGTTCACATTAAGGTGAATGACACTAACGAGGCTGGTAGTGCGGTACTGCTCCAACCACAGGACTTCAATGACCCACTCCAGTTCTTCACGCCCACTTTAGTTCACCAAGTTACACGTGACTATTTGAAAAAATTTTTATCTCGTTTATTTCGGTTCTTATGCACAAAAGGCCCAAAATCAATATTTTTATTTCTTGAGCCAAAATTTATACAGTCGAATCTGATTGGCCAATATTAGCCAACCAACATGGTTAGGCAAACCAATCAAAACTTCCAGCAGATAAAATTTTCAGCCGAAAATACCAAAATGTTAAACTTTGCCTAATAATCAAAAATTTTTCAAGTCACAGTAAGTTTTCTCAGCCGAGGAAAAATCAAGAAATGGCTTCAGCAGATTAAATTTTTTTTTGTTTTGGTCATGTCGGCCAACAAATTTATCAGCTTGGAGTTTCAATTGAGAGGCAGGAGCAGGACCTTATTATTTGAATTTGAGTGTATAAATTGCGTATCAGATTCAACCTTATTAATTTGAATTCAAGAAAGATGAAGAAATGCTGATTTTGGGCCGTTTATTGCTTAAAACCCTTTATTTCCTGCGTGATAAAAACAGGTTTTATAAAACGCATGGGATTTGGTTTTTCATTTATTTGTTTTAATCTTTATTTTGGGAGGTTTTGGTAAACTTTTTCACTTTGGCCAAACTACGTTACCAATGTTCTTTAAAAAGGTATCAATGGAAATAACGGCTACTTCCATGTATGTCTGCATATTCCCATGGTCTCGTCTTACTTACTCCACGTTCTGTGACCTTCGAAATTTTCATTGGGTGGAATAAGTGATCCATTTTTCTGTTTTCTCAGAAACTAACCGGCCACATCTGAAATTAAAGTTTCGTCATAAAATTGTTAGCATGTGCCACAAAAAGCATTTTTTTGACATTTTGATTGTTTTTTTTCAATTCCTCATAATTTCCCTCCCAAATTTGAGATTAAAGATCCAATTGGAAGGATAGGTTGTGGAATCTTCCTGGCCTGAGCGACTAAGCTCTTACTTTTGTAGAAAAAAAGTTCTGACCTTGGAAAGAGTCAAATTTTTGACATTTTGACCGTTTTCAGAAACTTTTGACTTTAGAACCTCGCCAATTCTGAAACTAATGGTTGAAGTGAAGTATCGCGCAGAAGCTTTTTTCGCTGTTTGTGACAGTTTTAGGAAAATTCTTGACTTTCCTCAAAAACCAACCGGCCATATCTGAGATAAAGGATTAAATCAAAGAAAAAAATGGCGAAACTTTTTCCTGCAGAACCTTTATTTTTTATTACTTTTGCGATAAGCAAGGGTTTTTGCAATCGGGTACTAGGCTCTTTTTCACGTAAACAGAATGGTCGAATGGTAAAAAATGCATAATTGCTTAATAACGTGTTACTTGTATTAGCTGCATGCAGTTACCGCGCGGCATGTAGTTGTGTTACGATAAGACTTGCAAAAATATTGGTAGGCTTTAATTCTGTCGGCTTATTTTTGAAATGTTTTCTTTCTACTAATTGTTGTTTGTATTATATCGATAGAACTGTAACATGACATTTTTGAACTCTAACGAGAAGTCTTTGTTAGTCTAAATAACATTCTTCAGCCCTTCGAAATAATTGCTACGTTTGCGATTAGCAAGTGTTATCAAATCGGAATGTAGACTTTTTGTCGGGTTAACAACTAGTTTAACAAAATCAGTTGAATCTTTTTTGATGCTGCTATGTAGCTGACGTGCTCAATTTCTTGAAAATTCAGTTTTAACTACTGGGTGTGTACTAGTTACTACAGGGTTTTTTCAGGGGGCCTTAACTAATGTCTGCTCGAAGATTGTCGGCCTTGATTCCGTTTCATAACTTTTGTTCAGTTGCTTATTTGAATTTTATAATATTTTGTTTGGTATGTTTGCCTAAAATTTTTATTTGATAAAGATAGGTACTTTTTTACCCTTGCGATGAGCAAGTGTCTTGCAATCGGGTAAGAGACTTTTCTTACCCCAATTAAATTTAAGCACTGGACTCATCTCCCGGACTCATTTATCCACTTGGCCTTTTTGTTGCAACAGAGGTATTTGGAGCATGTAAATATACGGCCTATTCGAACTTTTCCCTAAACGATTTTTTTTGTAATTTACCAATCCGCTTTGTTAAAACTTCATTTTTGTTTTTTTTTTCCTTTTTTTTTCTCGGTTTAATAGGTTTTGGCATATTTTATATCGGCTTAGTGGCCCCATATTGCATCGTTTGATCGGCGAAAATTTTTTTGTGTGTGCGTTCTGAGTTTTGAGGGAGATGAGCTTTAAAAGTTTTTTTTTTCAATTTTTTTCGGCTTTACGGGGCTCTGCTCAGACATTTTTTGTTTTTTTTTAACGCTTGTTAAGTTTTCCAATGGTAATTTTTTTACTTTCTAATGTATTATTATTGTTTTATTTTTGGTTTCTAGAGTAGATCTTGTTTTTCTTTACATTTCTTAGTTTTTCCGATTACGTTTTTCTATTTTTCGACTTTTGTTGAAGTTTTTCGACCTTTTGTTCCGAGTATTGCATCGCAATTGGTGCGAAGCTCAGTTTCGCTTCTGTGTTTAATTTTTTGAAACGCTTTGCAAAATTTTATTTCTTTTTGCAACAAAAAATTAAACAACATAATAATCCGTTACAATCGGTTCCCTACGCCTATACTTGGATGTGGGTAAGATACAATCGCTATTTTTTTTAGATTTGGATTGCTTTACACAAAAGGGTGACGCGTGTGTGTTTCCTGCCTACAACGATAGGCGTGTGAAACACATCGGCTGTTCCCAAGAGTTCGACCCCGACGAGCAGACTCCCTTCTGTCCCACAGAGGTGACTGATGGCAAGGCTGATAAGGTGGCAGAGTGTAACCTCGAAATATGCGTCGCAGGTCAGAATACACCAATTACATTGCTTTCATTATTTACACTGCTTACTACATGGTCATGAAATAAAACTCAGCCTGCGTTCTTGACTTTTAGTTTACAGATCAAAAAAGGTTCAGAAGCATCTCAAAGGCTTTCGAAAGAAAAAAGGATATTAAGAATACTTATTAAAATTGTTACCGGAAACTAGCCTTTTTTCCATAAACAACTTTTATTGCAAAATTTAACTGGTTTTCTTACTTGCTTCATTTTTGAACGGTAACAACTTTCCAACTTGGCCTTAAGGCATCGTGGTTGCCTTTGTACCCTTGGGTTCGAGTCCCGGACGGACTTTGTTTTTTCTGTTAAAGTGAAACAGGAATTTTTGCCGGGAAAAATTGAGCTTACGGAATTTTATTCGTCTGCTTATGTTTTTATTAGCTATGTTGCAACATCTACTGTAATTTGTAAATGTGTTTTTGTTTTAGTGTAACTTGTAAATCTAATAGCAAAAACGTTGTATATTATTATATTATCGTTGGTTTTCTTCTTTTTTGCCTAAAAGCTTTTTTCTGCCTAAATGGATTCGGTTTAGGTTTTGTCCGCTTAGTAATTTTAATTTGGGTCGCTTCAAAAGCAAAAAACTATCCATTTTTGTTTAAACATTTCAGATAGTTTGTGTTGCAAGAGGTTTCACTGCCTACTTTTTGTTACTTTAGCAACTAAAATCACATTTTGAAGCCGTTTCTCTATAACATAACTCCGTTTTTACAACAAAAAGAAAAGAAAAGTTACTTCAAATATTTACTGAAAATTTTCGCCCTTTAAAGCAACACAAAACAAATTTGCCTACTTATTTCGCGTAAGTTTTGCGCAGAAGCGACATTCGGAAAACATCAAAGAATAAAGCGAGAATATTTTCGCCTTTTAAAACAACACAAATTTGCCTACTTAATTCGCGTAAGTTTTGAACAGAAGCGACATTGCCAATTTTTTGGGTTGTTGAAATGATGCAAACAGAAAACAAGCAAAATTTCAAGGAATTTTAAATGCTTTCAATTAACTGACCGTTCTTTGACTGAGTTTTCAGTCATCTTCAGCCGGTACAGATATTTCGAAAAGGATATTCTAATATCAAACAAAGTTCAATCAAGTTTAAATCATTCAATTTCAAAATCATTATCGAGCTCAAACTTATAAATCGGTCGCTTTGTTCAGCTTTTTTTGAATTGTTCGCGCATAAAATTGTCAGCCCCTAGTCTCAAGCTAGCATCTCAAAAAATGGGGAGTTTGTCTTGGTCTTTAACTGCTAGTGCACTAGTCAAGTTCTTGTGTGTAGTACATTTTCCTGGAGTCTGCAAAACTGACTGAAAGTTTAGTTTATCAGGATAAAATTTTGAATTTTAAATTAATGCAATTGAATTAAGCAAAGATAAGACAAAATTTTTACTGACTTAACGCAAACTAGTTAAATCTTTGAAAAGTATAGTTCAGTTTTGTCTTCGTTGACAGATATAATGTTTTGAACTCTTTCATTTAAAACGAGGTACTTTTTGTTCTTTTTGATTTTATGGCCATTGGATTTGTCAATTTTTTTTGGTTTTTATGCGGAGGCATCGTTTCGCTAAACGCCCCTTGCCTTGCAAATTTTAGAGTGGGCTCCTCTGAAATTAGGTAGCATTTGTTGTCCCAGCTATCCAACTGATGTCTGCATCTCGCTGCTTCCAAATGGAGGTTGTGAATAAAGTTTCACAGCGTGGTACCATGCTTTTTATCGAGATGGAGCTAAGTTTGAGAAACACATCGTTTTTCGGGTTGTAAACAGGTTCTGTCGCAATTACTGTGAGTTTCCTGGGCGATCATATCATAGGATTTGTCGATTTTTTCTTTTTTTTAATGCAAAAAGGCAGCATTCTTGAGGCCAATGCTAGCTCGTGATTTGTTCTGTAGGTCATTTTGAGATCCAGCTCAATAATTTTTTTCATTTAATTCTGCGAGGAATGGAAAAAAACCCTATAATTGCGCAAACCGATAATTGCGCTCCGGGATTTTTAGCAGTGACTGCAAAATGTTTTTGCTCGAAATCTGACAAAAGTTTCTAGGCCGGCAGTTAAGTGCTGATTCAGTTTAGGCCTGGAAAAACTGATCGTAGGTTTTTTTTCTGTTTTTTGAGAAGGAAGGCGCATATGCAAACTATGCGTTCCCAGATACACTAACTTGAATTGAATACAGCTGATGAAGTATTTAACGAGTAATTTTCAAGCTAACCATCGGCTAACCAGAAAGGTGATTTTCTAAAAACACATCAGTTCTTCGGGATTGCCTAACAAAATTATCCTCGTGTAACCATTTGATCCACTGACCTTCTGGTTAAAATCTTCTTAATTTTTAGGAATCTCGAAATTTCGCACAGCGAGGATGGGTGCCATTTTTTCATCTGACTGGTTGCAGCCGTTCGAATCAGGTTGTCTTCCTTTGGAAGGGCAATCTGAGTTGTCATATCTTTTTTACAGTCAAAACCGCACTGGCAACTACAAAACATGCTTGATAAATTTTCGAGCATCTGATATTCCCACTGAAATGCCGTGATTGAGTTCTATCAATTTTTTTTCAATCAGTCGCGTTTCAATCTTTTTTTCTATTTCTGTAAAAGCGGATGCTTGACATTTATGTGTTTGGTGTTATGAGCTACTCTTGTCGCTTGAAATAATGTTTGTGGCCCGACTCTTAAAGAATTGGTTAGTTTTTAGATGAAACTGTGAACTCGAAAGGAGACTCGGCTCTTTTTCCTTTTCCCCCCACCTCACTCAAACATGAATTTTATGGTCTAACGAGTGGTTTTACAAGGTTAATTATGAAGATCAAATATGTTTTTCATGGCCTAATTAGTCTGCATGTCAATTTTCATGACAATCGGACAAAGTGGACGCTAACTTCAAATATAAAAAATTGCAGGTGGGGGGAAAAAGGAAAAAGAGCCGGAGACTCAATCATAGTTTTAGTATGGTGTTTCGTTTGTTTACGACTTGAGTACATCTTAGAAAGACTCACAGTTTTTTTATATATATAGTGTATTGTATAAAATAGCAAAAGCGAGTTTTAGTGTTTAGGTTGTTGTCGATAAGAGTCATAAGTCATTTAGTTAGCCTCATTTTAGCAAGTAAAATTGAGATAAACCAAAATTTTCAAACTGATGAGTGCGTTAATTGGTATGATAGGAGTTAAGATAAGGAGTTCAACTATCACAAGTTCAGGGGTTAAGTTTTAAATGGTGTTAAAGTGTTGGAGGTTTAAATTTGTTGGTAAGTAAGTTGACCTGGTTATAAAACGTAATTTTTTAAAGTTAAATTGGTAGTTATTAAATTATAGGACGCCGTTGCAAGCTTTCAAAGTTAAAAAAATTAATTTCTCGAAATTTCTATGACGGCAATTTTTGAAGATTTTCTGTTTTCTTTATTGTTTTTGGCTCAATGGGCGTGTACCTATTTTTTGCCGGCTCAAGTGCCGCTCGGTAAGTACTGAAAGCTTGTTGTTCGATACTTGTTGTTCGAAAGCTTGTTGTTGACCTCGGTGTTTGTTTTTACAACTCATTAATAATGTCTGCTCTTGTTTCGCGCTCATAAGACAAGTTTACTCTGTGTGAAATGTTAAATTTTAATTTAATAAGAAATCAAATTCTTGTTTTGTAGAAGTATTTTGCCCGAGAAACGTGTTTGAAGCTGCGAGCTACGATTATCCAGGCATTGGAGGAATACCTGGACACTTTTCGGGCGAGAGTAAACGTCGCCAGAAGCGGTCGCCAGTCGGCAATGGGAGTCATATAGCTTCACCTTTGAATCCTTACGTAGGGTTAGAATGCGCCGCGTACGAATATGATCTATGGAAAGGGGAGTATGTCGCGACTGGAGCAAATACTTGCGTGAGACCGGAGAAGCTGACGGCGTCTGTGAATAATTTAAACATCATTGCCACCTATAAGAACTACTTTATTTGCGATGGCAACAATGATTGTTACGAGAGAGATGATGAGGCGATTGAACTTTGCGGTAAATTTTAAATTTTGATCAGAAATATGAAATTTCACTTCGCATCACCGAACTTTATACTTGCTATTCTGAGTAGAAATTTTAAAATATTGAAGCAGATAGGTACATAGAGCTGTGAAGATGGCTGCGTTTTCTTTCAGTTTCTTTGTTTGCTCCTACAATACACTACGGATTGTTGCGAATCCTACTATTCGTCTTATTTCATTTAATTAGTTTTAAAGTTTCTTAACTGGTTAATTTAGATATGACCTTGTTATCTTCATTCTTTCCGACGGAGAGAATGACCGCTCACTTTTTAATGTTTTAATTTAGAGATTAATTCACTTTTTAAACATATCTTATTTGTAACTAAGTAGAATTATCCGTAACAAAGAAACATTTTATCATGGCGCAGTCAAACAGCAACGAATCAACCGTGAGAGGTATACCTTCATTTTGGCAAAACCACACAGTGGACCCACCAATCCCTTGGGAAGAGTGGAGCGATCTATTCCAGCTAGCAATAATCGCAAAGGAGAATATCGATATCGAAAATCTCTTGAATCCATCGGAACGATATCATCCACTTCCCCCAACATTGGAAAATCCGCCGGAAAATGAATCCGACGCTCAAAAAACATCTCGCATCGAGAGGAATATTCGAGAACAAAAGAGATTCGATGATGAAGAAATGGCCTCAATAAAGTCAGAAACCAAGAAATTCAACGGCATGAGACTTGAAGAGGCGGACAAAAAACTCAGATCCATACTCTATCTAGCCCTCGGAAACGAAGGAAACGAAGGAAAGAAAATATTCGGCCAAAAGTTTACGAGAAAGACAAACATAACCTTCGAAAGACACAAGCTATTAAACAGAGGGGGCACTTTCTGGGGGCACTTGCAGAAATGGCGAAAAGATGTAACATTCCTACAGGAGAAGACGAATGGATTCGAGATATTTTTATCAATAACATGAAGAACTCGGACATCCAACGGAAACTTCTCACGGAAACCTTACCTCCACTAGAAGCCTTAAATGTAGCCCTGATTGACGAAAAAGGAATAACAAACCACATCAAAATGACGAGTACTTTTAAATCCAACGGATATTCCTCCAACAAATCTTTGAATCATTTTAATGTAAAAAGAGAACCCACCCTAAACATCGAAAGAACCAACACATGTATGAAATGCGGCGGAAATTTTACAAAAGGACATCTAGCGGTTTGCCCCGCTAAAGATACGACTTGTACGACTTGTAAATATCGAGGACATTTTACTAGACTCTGTAAATCACGCCGTAAAAATGTAAATATTGTGGATAGTCAAATTGTAAATAATACAGACCATATTTATCCTTCGGAACAACCGGATGTACATATCGACCACGCCAATAGAGAATGCTGTGGAGTAATCAACGCATGGTCGGAGTCCGGACAGAGCGATAACGATGATTACTCTGTATTAAACGTAACAACTATCTACGACGATCAAGGAAAGGAACTGAAGAAATTACTGAACATCGGCTTAGGAAATGAAAACCAAGTAATTCTCAATATACAGGTGGACTCAGCAAGCCCTGTAAGCTTCCTTAAGCAGAACGTGTTACACGAGTTGAAGTTACGAGACCCTTATGTGAAAATTTATCCAGTGGATAAAGCGACTAAAGAACTCTATTGCGGATTTACGAACAACGCAATAAATATCACTGGAGAGGTATTCGTCCCAATTTTCTCAAATGGATGGTCTCACAAGGAATGCCACTTCTTCTTAACTCAAGGTCATGAAAGAAACATCTTGGGAAACAACAATTTACCAAAAGTCGGAATTGAAGTTTCACAAAAACAATTCACAACACTCACCAACAAGAGAACTTGTAAGTCTATCAATTCAGTTACCTCACTTGACAGAGATAATGAAATAGAAATGATTTCCAAAACCTTCAAACAATTATTCCTTCGGATTGGAAAGATAAAAAATCAAAAAAAAATAACACACTTTCACGAACCTCTAAAGCCAATTCAACTAAAAGGCAGGAGGGTCCCTTTACACTTACTGGATTCAGTAAAATCAGAATTATACAGACTTAAATCCGAAGGACACATCAAAAAATTAGAAAACTGTGACAAGGACAGATTTATTAGTCCGATAGTTATCACTTGTAAAAAAGACAAATCGATAAAGCTAGCTCTAGATTCAAAATTTATCAACAAACAAATTTACAAGAACAAATATCAGATGCCCAATATACACGAGTTAGTGGATAACGTAGCGGCTCAAATTTCAAACAACTCCGCCGGAGAAGTATGGTTTACAAATCTAGACTTAAAGAACGCATATAGTCAACTCTCGCTAGACAACTTTACTAGCAGCCAATGCAATTTTAGCCTAGTTGGCGGAGATATAACAGGCACTTATCAATTTTTAACCGGTTTTTACGGACTCGGCGATATGCCAAACGAGTTTCAAAGAGTCATGGACTCAACTCTGGGAAATATTCCTTTCACTAATTGTTACCTTGACGACATATTAGTCGCTTCCAAAGGAAGTTTTAACGATCACAAGAAAATTGTTTATAAGATTTTATCAACGCTAGATAGTTACAATTTCGCAGTTAAATGGTCGAAATGCAAATTCTTCCAAAAAGAAATCGAATGGCTCGGCTTTAAAATATCGAAAACCGGAATCGCCCCACTATTCGATAAAACCAAGGCAATCAAAGATATTCCAATTCCAAAGAATCTAAAAGAATTAAGATCATTCTTCGGGTCAACTAATCAGTACATTAAATTTGTACCAAATTTAGCATCCCTCGGAAGCCCGCTTAGACCTCTTCTAAACAAGAATTCAATTTTTCTTTGGAATGAAGATCACTCAAAAGCATTCGATAAGATTAAATCAGAAATAGTAAATCTTACTGAAAACACACACTTCGACGTAAAAAAGTCCACGAGAGTAAAAACCGATGCTTCACACAATGGGTTAGGTGCATCCCTCGAACAACTCCATGAAAACGTTTGGAAAACAATGTCATTTGCTTCAAGATTTTTAAATCCTCATGAATCCAAATATTCAACAAACGAATTAGAGTTATTAGGAGTTGTATGGGCGGTGGAACATAACAAAAATTATCTCTACGGTTCCGAATTCGAAATTATTACCACAAAGCTCTCCTTTCCGCTTTGTCACCTAATCACGGAAACAAAACGTACCATAGCCGATTGACAAGATGGGTAGATCGTCTTCTACCATTCAATTTTACTATCAAGCATTTAGCGGGAAAAGATATGGGTTTTACCGATCTAATTTCAAGAACTCCTTCGGGTAAAGCAATTCCCCCATCCCATTACGACGAAGAATTCGTAGTTGCAACTACCGAAAAAAATATATAATGCACTCAATCCTTTGGATAATGAAAATCCATTACGTAATTCAATTAATTCAATTTCGGAAAATTCCCAGTACACGAAATTACGAAATCACGTAATAATTACAGCATTGAATTTTGTCAATTCTTCCATCTCAATCTGCAATCAAAAACACTATAGAACAGAATTTTGTAACTCTAAATGTATTCCCTCGGATTTCTCAAGCACAGATTCTACTAAAATCCTTCTATCAAATTCAGCCTTTATTTATTTTTTAATTATTAACAGTAGCTTAATTAGTAATCCTTCGGATTTCAAACTTATAAATAGTGTAAATATGTCAAATAACCAAATTGTAGTAAATCCTTCATTTTCCGGGATACAGGTCTCTATTGATTTCCAAATTTCCTCAGAGCACAAAAAGTTAGTAACTAAATTTCGAGAAAACCTCAAGTTACCTGGAAGACCTTTGGATTTAAATACTTTATTCAATGCAAAGTTGGTTGCTTTATTAACGGAAGATGATGAGATGTTAAACCCAATTGTGAAAGCTTTACAGAAAAAAAGTAGAAAACATCAAGGCAAACTCCCGTTACTTACACCAATTTTCGAAAGACCTCCATGAATCCGACGGACTATTATATATGGATGGAAAATTGGTTATTCCGTTTACACTTAGAAACGCCGTTTTAAAAACTTTACACGAATCACACCCTGGCCAATTCGGTATGAAATACCTGGCACAATATATTTGGTGGCCACATATAAACCGACAAATTTATTTCCGCGGGATTAATTGCACACAATGCACTCAAACTGGTAAGAATATAAAAAGCATCATACCAACTACACAAATTAGCGAACTCCCCACTTTATTTGAACCAAATGAGGAATTAAACCTTGATTTTGCCGGTCCATTAGATAACAACTGGGGAAACAATAAATACATCTTATTATGTATAGATCGTTTTTCAAAATTCCCATCAGCAAAAATTACTTCTTCAACGTCATCAAACACGGTAATCGAATTCCTTCAAGATTATTTCTATCTCCATGGGATTCCTAACTCCATTCGTGTTGACCACGCATCCTGTTTTACTAGTCAAGATTTTAAATTATTTTGCAATTCTCTTAATATCAAATTAATATTTTGTACAGTTGGGGATCATCGTTCTAACGGTCTTGTAGAAAAACTTGTTCATATTGTAAAAATCAAATTATTAGCAATGTCTTTGGAACAACAAAAACCTATATTACAAATTGCCATTTCGAAAATCATTTGGAATTTACGATCTTCCTTCCAATCAAAAATAAAATGCTCACCGTTCGAAATACACTTTAATAGAAAACCGAACACGATCTGGAAGCAATTGGCATCTAATAAATTATCCGGTGGATTTTTAGACAAAGGGAAGTCGATCTTAAGCAGAGAAAGGGCCCTTGACTGGAATGCTGACGATCGGATAGAGGACGGATACAAAAACCTTCTAGTACCGAAAAAGAACCAGTCACCATTGGAGAAATGGTGACTCAGACTACGACTCAGACCTTCCAACAACCTCAAAACCTTCATCTTCTCGAGTGGCCTTAAACAGTCCGTTTAAAGGTAATTTACTACGAAAAACCAACGGAAGTATAAACGGAAATCCCTTTTATAAACAACTAGGTCAGAAAATAATAAACTCAACAAAATCCACGGTTGAACTATCCGACGGAAAAATCATTAGAAAATCGGACATCGCCATCCCAAAGTCTAAATCCTCTACAATTCGTTCATTCAAAGGAAATATCTCATTTCCCTCTTTTTCTAACAGTGATTTACAAGTAGGTCCAAGAAAGACAAACAAAGCGAAGACACAACAGACGCGGAAACCAGACACTATGACAGGACGACACACAGAGTCTTTCACCCCGGTCACCACCAGATCTAGAGGAACGAGACAGCCTACTAAATTCAACAAACCGAAGCGAAACCGAAATAAAGCCTCGACTTCGAACACAGGATACTTAGCAGGTGACGAATCCATGTTCATTCCGTCGGATACGTCGGACATTAGTGATTGGGAATGGATTACGGGAGGTTTTCCATGCAGAGAAATGATACGAAAACGCTTCATTTCAGATAACCTCAATTTTAACGAAAACCCTTCCCCACCATTAGCTCCTCAAACATATCAAACTAATATAAAATCTGAGATTTTAGACGAACAACTTCAATCTACAGATACAGCGGAATGCCCAATTAGTATAAAGCCAGCACCTCAATCTACCTCACACACACCTGGCGAATCTTCTACCGCTACGACAACAGAGGGCCCAAAAATTCCTTCGGATTCAACAAAAGCATTTGAAGGAGAAAATCCGGTGGAATTCCCAGTCTTTGAGATAGAGGACTCCTCTAACGAAAGTGCAAATAGTGAGGAAAGACATCCTAAGGAAATCACTACCACCGGCAACGAATTTAAATTAAGACGTTCAAGTCGAAATGTTGGTCCCCCACAATTCTATGGTAAGCGATATTACGTAGATATTATAGACGAGTGCGAAAACCAACCAGGCTCCGCGAATAACCCTATATCTCTGGACGAAGGCGACAGCTCGGGATTCCCCACTCTAACCTTCAGAGAGAATCCCTCGGAGAACCAGACTCACATTTGCGACACTCTACCGGAGGACCGTGCACCGGGCCCAGCGTACCCTTCATCTCCTGATCAATTCTCCATCGCCTCTACTGACGAATCCCTGAGAGATGCGGTGAACACCTTCGACAACTACATCGACTTAGACAGTGAAATTTTTAACGCTGAGCTAGAAAAATTCATGGAAGGGGACAGCTAAACTAAATCAAAAATTTGAAAACTCACATTTAGTCATTATATCGTACTAGTGTTTCGTTTCAGCGCAGTTAGAGTTTACCTTCTTATAACTAGGGATTATAATCCGCCGGAATTAGAAATTATATCATTCTTTCTAATTCAGTCATTCCTTCGGAGCACTAAAATTTCATTTGTGATATTGCACAGTATTTAATTTTCAATCCTTGTTTGACTTCTCGAGAGGGAGAAAAAGGGTTAGATAACATGTTATGTATCATGGTGCTTAATACTTTAATTTTTTTTCCCACTAAGGGGAATGTTGCGAATCTTACTATTCGTCTTATTTCATTTAATTAGTTTTAAAGTTTCTTAACTGGTTAATTTAGATATGACCTTGTTATCTTCATTCTCTCCGACGGAGAGAATGACCGCTCACTTTTTAATGTTTTAATTTAGAGATTAATTCACTTTTTAAACATATCTTATTTGTAACTAAGTAGAATTATCCGTAACAAAGAAACATTTTATCACGGATAAATTCTTGCGTTCAGAAAAGTTTTTTTTTGCGCCAACTCAGATGCCACTACGAAATGTTGTAGCCTTTTCAGTATAGTAGCCAACCTGTTTTAGTCGTGATTTGCGGTTGGTTTGAAAAGTCCAATGTGAAAAAATAAAAGTTGGAAATCGGTTTCTCCGACAGTTTAAGCAATAAAAAGTCCCTTTTAGAATATTTTAAGTTATCAGTATGCGCGTGTAGATTTTTACTGGACTAAAATAGTTTTTTTAATGGTTTTTTTTCGTTTTTGGCTTATCTAACTGTGGCTGGGAAATTCTGAACTATGTGCACAGCAACTGTCTATTTAATTTTTTCTCATAAAAATTTTGCAGGCAACTGTTCCAAGAATGAGTTCGAGTGCAACACTGGCGAGTGTCTTCCCATCGATCTTCGTTGTGACAGTATCATGCACTGCAACGACGGGTCTGACGAACTGGCCAAATACTGCAGTGAGTAACACCATTGTTTGAGTTCTAATTTATTCCAAACATGCAGAGTGGCGGATCTAGGATTTTCTCGAGGGAGGTGTGGGGGGGGGGGGGGGGGGGGGGTATTATTTTCCGAGCTCTCCCAAAGCACGAAAAAGACCCTGTTTTGGCCATCTTTTCATAGACAAATTGTATGGAACTGTATGACTAGCATTCTTACTGTATGGCGGTCAACCCGGGCTTTTAGAAAAATTTCGGGACGGTCAGCCAAAAAATGATTTATATCTCAAAATAGTACAAAGGGTGGACCCTTTGAGTCGGAAGTGGGTCGAATCCCTGAGGGAAGAGGCGTCCGTCCCCCGCCCCACCCCCTAAATCCGCTTCTGCAAATGTGAATCCAATTTGGAGTAAGGTTTTCATCGTTTGAACTTGTTTTTGAAACCTGTGAGGTCCAAGTTTGACCATAATTTTGACGATAGCAGTGCAGTGCATGTCGTTAAATCCCTTAACGTTGATTTGCATCTTTTTTTTATAATCTAACTAAGATCAGAATCTTCGTCAGAGTTTATTGGCTACGTACGGACTTAGCGCATGTCCGATTACTTTTCAAGGCTATCAAAAGATCCCCTTGGCTATTTGTTTAAAACATCACTCAGCCTTTAAAGATATATGATTGCCGAAACTGTTTTGACTCTCGAGTCATCATGTCTAATGTGTGTAGAACCAGCTGCGGACAAGTTTGTGTGTGCGACATACAATGAACTGGTAGATGTGGAGGACGTGTGCAATTCAATCGTGGACTGTTTCAGAGACCTCAGTGACGAAATCGGATCTGGTTAGTGAGTTTAAACACGGAACTTTTTGAATCTATTTATCCAGAAGGTAAATGACATAAAAAGCTGTTCGTTCAACACAAAGAATCACTGTTTCAATTAGGAGAAGGTCACTGTTTCTAGGTATAGAAAATAGGTTACCCTCTTCTTAACTCTAAGCAACTTAACACCATACAATTTCACTCCCTACTTTTTGTTGCAATGGCATTTTAACAACGCTACTACATTTTAAAGCCATTTCTATTATTTAACTCCGTTTTTATCTTCAAAGGAGACTTCTGTAAACATCAAAGAATTAAGCGAGCGGAATTTTTGCTATTTAAAGTTAAACAATTTCGCGTTACTTAAATCGCTTAAGTTTTGAACAGAAATTACCTTGCCAATAGTTTTAAGGAATCGTTCCAAAATGAAATGAAATGGCCTTGCCAACAATTTCAATGAATCGTTCGAAAGCGAAATGAAATGGCTTTGCCAATGATTTCAATGAATCGTTCCAAAACGAACCAAAAACAAGCAAAGTTCAATGAACTTCAAAGTTGCGCAAATAATTAGACGGTATATGACTAAAATAGCCTTATTTTCCAAAAAATTTGCAGCCGGTGTAGAAATTTTTAAAAAAAGGTTTAACCAACGCCAAAAGCCTAAAAATTCAATGGTTTAACCTACGCCAAAGGCCTAAAAATCAATCTCGAATTTAAACCTATAACCTGATTGCTCTCTCAGCTTTTTTTGAAACGCAAAGCTAAAGGGTTTGCCAGCCCCTAGTCCCAACCTAGTAACCCGAAAATAAGGGAGGTTGTCCTGGGATTAAACTGCTAGTACACGAGTCAAGTTCTTGCGTGTAGTTACGTTTCCGGGAGTCTGCAAGTAAAGGTTTTTTCAAAAAACTTACAAAGTTTAAATACGATTAAAAAATGAATTTTAATAATACGAAAAAATTAGCACTAAAGGGACAAAATTTTCACTGTTTTAAGACAAACTAGATAACGCTCTGAAAAAATACAAATCAGTTTTGTCTTTGTAAACGGACATTATATTTTTAACTCTTTCATTTAATACTGGGTATTTTTTCGTTTTTAAGAATTTATGGTCACTCGATGCATCGAAAAAGTGAAGTTTTTGTACGGAGGCGTCTTTTTGCAGGCTGCCCACTACTTTTCACATATTTCGGTGGGCTCCGCTGAAATAGAATTGGATGCCGAAATGTCATCCTTCGACAGCATTTTTTGTTCTAGCAATCCCACTCAAGGCGGCATCTCGCAGGTTCCAAAGGGAGGTTGGGAATAAAAGCTCATAATTTGGCACCATGCTTTTTATAAAAACACTAAAATGAATTGAATATAGCTGATAGAATATTTTTGGAGTAGTTTTAAAGGTCCTATCAGCTTACCAGAAAGATGATTTTTCCAAAATTCTCAGCATTTCGGGATCACTGCACAAAATGATTCGCTCGTGATCATTTGATCCACAGTCATACCGGATAAAATTGCCAAAAAAATCACGGATCTCAAAATTTTGAGCAACGGGGATGGCTGGCATATTTACATCTAGCTGCTGGCATATTTACATCAGAGACAAAGAAATCATTCTTAGTATAAAAACGCTTAATTTTGATGAAAAAATAGTGGATTTATAATAGCTTAAGGATGTTAATTTTTCTGCGCGCAGCCGTGCCGATTAGTTTATCTTCAGTTGGCCAGTGACAAATCATTTGTCACTGGAAAAACTTCAATTTCAATGGCAACCACGACAGTTTGTGTCTATCTCTCGCTGAAATCTTTTAAAGGCTTGATGACACGTCGGGCATCTGATTTTCCCGCTGAAATGTCATGGTTATGCTCTCCAAGCGTCTTGATCAATTAGTTTTTTTTTCTGCAATGGCAGATGCTCTCCATTTATGCGTTTGATATTTAGAGCAAATCCAGTTTTCGGCAAATTTTTTTTCTCGCTTGAAATAAACTTCGTTGCCTTCTAAGAAACACTATTTTTCTGCGCGCAGCCGTGCCGATAAGTTTATCTTCAGTTGGCCAGTGACAAATCATTTGTCACTGGAAAAACTTCAATGGCAACCACGACAGTCTGTGTCTATCTCTCGCTGAAATCTTTTAAAGGCTTGATGACATGTCGGGCATCTGATTTTCCCGCTGAAATGTCATGGTTATGCTCTCCAAGCGTCTTGATCAATTCGTTTTTTTTTCTGCAATGGCAGATGCTCTCCATTTATGCGTTTGATATTTAGAGCAAATCCAGTTTTCGGCAAATTTTTTTTCTCGCTTGAAATAAACTTCTATAAGAATTGGCTTGTTTTAGATGAAACTGCGAATTCGAAAGAAGACTCAATCATAAATTGTTTATTGTTCCGACTTTTGATACCAAAGTAACGGAATATTTGTACTCGGGGTGGGTTTTTTTTTTCTTCAGACAAATTTCGACTTTTTAACTAGCCATTTTTGACGGAATTTTTTTATATCATTCAAAAATTATAGTTGTCCTGAGCTTAAATTTGAAAAGATATTTCACCTGTGATCATTTTTCGTAAAATTATGAGGGTTTAAAGATTGCCATTTTGACCAATTTGGGACAATTAACGCGCAATATAATTCGCGCTATTAACGCGTAAGCGAGATTCAATCCGTCTTATAAATCGTTCCAAATTGGTTGAACGAAGCTTATTTGCCATAATTGATTTGTTACAAGGAACAAAATCTATCTTTTTGTACTTTATATGGCGTGTGGGGGGATGATTTTCATTAAAAATTTCAATTTTTAGAAAAACAATTTTCATTTTATTTTGTTTCATTTAATTTTTTCTTATCTATTACTGCTGCTCAATAAACCTTAAAAGGCAGTCGGAACGTTCAGGGCTTCGCCCTGATACGAGCAGTCTTGTTATGTTTGCGTTTGTTTATTATTTGAGTACAGTATAAAATGACTGTCAAAATTTTATATTTGTCAGAAAATTTACGTCAAATTGTTATAATTTAGCACAAGCAGGTTTCTCTAATAATCATAATGGTTGAGCGCAAAGTTTAATTGAAAATAAATTTTGATATTGTCAATAAGAGTCTTGAGTAATTTAGGAAGCCTCATTTTAGCATGTTGTTCAATTTGATGCGTGCGTTAATTGCAGGAGTAATTTTGGTGTGATTAGAGTTAAGATAAAGAGTTCATAGAGCATTAATTTTAATAGTGAAATGAATAGGTGTTAAAATTTACGGTGTTAAATTGGCTGGTTTTAATTGTTAGACGTCGAAAAATAAAATCTCATTCTCAATCGGTAACATGCTGTGGTCGTTGGCGGAAGCTAATAGAAGCACGAAAGGATTGATTAAAAATTTAGTATTCGTGACGGCATGGTTGAATCCTTTTGCTAACGCTGAAATCGGACTGTTTTTCCAAATACAGTTCCTCGTTTCCTAAACCAAATTGTTCGTCTCTGCTGAATATTGGTGTTCAGACGAGTACTTGAAATAATAATTAGGCTGGTAAAAACATTTTACTCTTCAGGTTGCAACGAGACCTATGAAGCATCTTCACCCGGAGGTGAATATCTGGCCTGTCAGCATCCGAACAGCAAAAACTGGATAGCACTGGACAAGTCTAATATCTGTGATGGAGTGGAAAACTGTCTAAATGGGGTGGATGAAGTTGCTTGTTGGAAGAATAATCTTCACCTCTGGATTGACCCTTTCGAAGGTTATATTCAGATCATGTTTTAATTGAAGCGCAGGCGCATTGATGTAAGCAGTCTTAAAATTTGAATAGCAGTTTTTCTAACTCATGTCTGAATTTTCTGCAATTGGCAATTAAATTGACATTACGAGGCTTGTGTTTCCAAAAAGGTCACTGATGCAAATAAAAAGTTTCTCAAATCAAATAAATTTAGTAAACATTATTGAAGAACGGGGTTTCTACAAAATGGGACAACTTTTTAAAGTATCGTTGTGATTAGAACTGAACCAAAAGTACAATGAGTACGCAGAAACTGTGCAGCAGAGGCCGAATGACGTCAAGTTTTACCGTCTAGTGAGTGAGAATGCCACCGTTAGGTCGGGACACGAACTGAAAAACATGCTCATCAGGTGCTCGTTCAACAACCACGCCTGCAACGAGACCACGTGAGTCCCATTCGCTCAAAGTTAAGGTCATGTCACTCCTATTCTAGCTGTCTTTTAAGATTGTCCTCGCTAGAATTCTTAGCGAGAAAAACCAAGGTTGTAACTTATGAAGTTTCTGTTGAACAAAAAACAGTGTGAGGAAAGTAAAAAAAAACTGAAAGATCGAATTGAAATTCCTAAGTTTTTCAGGGGCCCTTTTAAAATTGATTTATTAATATTTTTGGTTTGCGTATTTTATGACATTGAATTCTTCTTTTTTATACCAAAAATTATGGCAGTTCGCTATTCTTTGTTTACTTGTAATTTCTGATAATTCGGTTAATTTACATATGAAATGAAATGTCAATCAGCCAGCTACCCGAAACCGATCTACCTCAAATCGAAACGAGGCAGAATATGGTCAACCTACCCGGAAAGGAGCAGTTCCTGGGTATGAGAGCTGACCTTTGAGCTCTCACCTCTTCTCGCTCTGTAGGAGGGCGAGGACGTTCTGGCTAGTATTCATAGCGAGAAAAACCAAGGTCGTAACTTATGAATTTTCTGGTGGACGAATAACAGTGTGTGGATAAAGTAAAAAAAAACGAAAGGTCGAAACAAGGTTCACAAGTTTTTCAGGCGCTGTTTTAAAATTGATTTTTTACACTTGCGATCAGCTCAGTTTGTTATTACGAAACTTTTTTTTAATAACCTAACTCGCAATTAAAAGTGTTCATTAAAAGTTCACTTATGCGGTAAATGTCACTGTAGCACTGGAAATTGCATAGCATCTGTTCTCTGCTTTACTTCTGGCTAGTTTTTGGTGACTGATAAGCTTCCGTGACTGAGTGGTTATTGTTTGAGATCTTTAGGTCACAGGTTCGAAACTTAGAGGTAGTCGAAATTTTGCTAATTCGATGCTTATTTCTAATTTTTATCATTGCTTTTTATAGAGCTGCTTTTTGCGTGTTCTTGCAAAGTGTTTGCGAAGCAAAGCTTTGCCTCTGTGTTAATGTTTTCATTTTGCGTATTTAATGACATTGAATTCTGCTTTTCCGATAATTAAACGGCTAGTTTACGTATGAAACGAAATTTTGTCAATCAGCCAGCTACCCAAAACCGATCTAGGCTCTTTTCCAGTTTCCCCCTTTCACTTGCAATTTTGAAAAGCTTATTCAACATTTTCATAATACAATGAAATTTGGCGTGGTGAACAAATCGACAACTGTGAACAGATTTGTTCTTCATACTTTACACCGTAACATCACGCATTTAGCCGTAATAACACGTAAAACAAACATAAAAATTTTAAACAGGAACTCGCTATTTTAAGAGAGGGGAACTGAAAAAGAGCTCCGATCTACCTCAAACCGAAACGAGGCAGAAATAAAGATAGTAATTCATTAGAAAGTCGAAAATATTTTTCTGCCCAATTATTTAGTTGCAGTTGGATCAATTCAACGGTTTACCCGCAGCAAGTCAAGTAAATGAATCCCCTTCAAAATAAACTGACAGTTATGCAAAAAGCCATTGTTCAAAATGTGGACTCTGATTTGCTGAAAAAAAGATCCTAACATAGAGAACGATCGTTCAAATTGGATTAAGGGGGATGTTGCTCGCTGGATCCCAGGAATACTGTCTGTATTACTTTTTTTTACATTATCGCAATGGGTGAATCAGAGACAGAGTTCATTCTTAGTAATAAAACGCTTAATTTTGATGAAAAATAGTGGATTCATAATAGCTTAAGGATGTTAATTTTTCTGAAAATGTTTTTTTTTCGCTTCAGGGACTTTACGGAAGTGTTATCAGAGAAGTACGGTCGTTGTTATCAGTTCAGCGACACCAGACCTCTCTTCAATGGTGGACGCGGATACGGTTTGTAAGCTAAACTGACAACCACAATTATTAATAGATAACAATAATTATACAAAAAATTCTGGAAAAGTCGAGTTCTTGTGGAAAATTTGTATACGTTCAGATGCTTGGAATTTAATTTAGTGGTTTCTGCCTCTTAAATGGAATTTGCGAGAAAATAGTAGTTTTAGTGTATGCCTTGAAGACGATTTAACGCATACAAAATTTCTGGAATGACCAATATTGGTTTGAGATGGACAATTAATGTCGTCGGCAAATTTCATGGAACCTTTGATAAAATAGTAAAGAAATCAAACATATAGTCGAAAAGCCACAAAGAGCTAGTTTTTAAGAAATATTTTCCTTTTGGACCCGGCCTGAAATCAAGTCTACTCCGCCGATAATCGATGATTAAATCATACTTAGTGGTCCAAAAGGAAAACATTTCTTAAAAACTAGCTAAGTATGATTTAGTCATCGATTATCGGCGGAGTAGACTTGATTTCAGGCCTGGAACTTTTTCTGAACCTGGAGTCTTATGAGTACAGTGGATCCATGACAGACACCTTGGGTGTGGCTCTCTTCATCTCCCCCTACTCCCCCTCCCGCTTCTTGGATCCTACAACTGTGTTGCCAGTGTACCCCGGAATGCACACCACCATAGGAGTTCAGAGAGTCAGTATCATTTATAGAATCTAATTCAAAATACCTCTGTTTTTTTTCTTGAATTTACTTGACAAATTAATGAGTATAGAATTTAGTTCTGGTATTTGACATGGAGCATCAACATAACCAATAATCAAACATCCGGTTAGCACATAATCAAACATCCAGGTATAAACTAAACTGGCTGCAACAAAGAACCTCGAAAAATCTTACATATGTTGATAAAAATAGGTAATCAGTTCAGAAATGACCAGTAAAAGTTTGGATGAACTTATTTTTATTATCTTATTATTACACTAAAACTTCGATTTATAATACTTTTGATAACTACTAAGATCAAAATGATTGTTACGCTTGCAATTAGCAAGCGTTATCAAATCGGAATAAAAACTTTTTTTCGGGATAATAACTAGTTTAACAAAATCAGTTATTCATATCATGCTGATTCATATGATGAGATAATCAATTTCTTGTTCAATTTCATGAAATTGCTCAATTTTATGAAAATGCTTATTTTCATGAAAATTCAAATTTAACTACTGGGTGATACTAGTTACTACATGGTAGTTTCAAGGGGGAATTACAAAATCATTTGTTTTAAGATCAACTGGTGACTGCTCAAAGATTGTCGGCCTTGTTTCCGCTTCATTAATTTTGTTCAGTTGCTAACTTTTATTTCTATTATCTTGCTTGGCATGTTAGCCTAGAATTCCTGTATGATAAAAACAGTTATTAGTTAAGTGTTTTGGATTGCGTTCTTGTGTTTTTTTGAGACGCTTTGGAAATTTTATCGTTTTTGCAAAAAATGTTGTCTTTTTTTCAAAAACTTTCTACCTATATTTTAACACAAAACTTTATCGTCCTCAGGAAAGTGTTTTTTTAAAATTTTTGAGCGTTTTTTTTTCTAAATTTTATAATTATTATGAAATCAAAAGTACCCTTCCATATCTGGAATTCTGGATTCAACCCAAAGAACGGGTTGTGGGAAGCTCCTTTGGATACGCGAATACGCCCAAATTTTTTTGACACAAGTTATGGCCCTCGGAAAAATTTTGTGAATTTTTTCTACTTTTCTCGAGAACTAGCCTCCTAAATCTAGATTTTTGAGCTCAATCAAAATTGCACGTTGAGTTATTTTCTTCTGCATAAGCGGCTTCGCCCTATTCTTTTACACAAAATTCTATGAGTCTCGTCAAATTTTTCTTTTTATTGACCGTTTTTGGACTTTTCTCGCTAACTATCCGACAAATTTGATATCATAAATTTAATTGAAACAACAGGTTGTTGAAGGCCTACTTTTATAATTGAATATGCCCAGGTTGTTCGAGAACAAAGTACAAAGTTATGGCCTTCAAACAAAGGAAAGTTTAGAAACTTTGATCGTTTTTTGGAAGTTTTTTTACTCAACTTGAAAGTTACCGTGCCAATTCTCAGGTTAAATGTTCAATCGAGAAACCTGATTTTGGGAATTTTCTCGCTATTTTACTGGCTACGACCTGGTATTCGCAGAAAAAAGTTTTCTGCCAATAGTTTTCTGAAACCTTCTTGAGTTTTCTTAAAAAATGTGCTATAAAATATGAGAAGAAAGTTTCAATCGTACGAAGCGGTTGCGTGACATGTTTCTGCAAAAGCAGCTACTCCTTATTTTTTTTCATCTTAAAAGGTTCTGTTTTGAAGAAATTTTCATAATCTCAAAATTTTTCACTCGTCTCACTTATTTTAGTAGAGAAACAACTAAGGTTTTGGCCAAAGTCCAATATTTGAAGTTACGCATCTCGTCCCGCATCAGTATAACAAATTTAAAAAATATCGAACACGTACCTCCAGCTTTAGAAGGGCCCTAGATGTCCTCTTCGTCTTCGTCTTCGTAGGGCGTTTTCGAGCATTACTGCCCATTGCCCGCCATATGTATATCTCTCACAATTGCTTTCCACTGCGGCCTGTTCAGTGCAGTATCTTTGGCCAAATCGAACCAGCTTGCCTCCCAGTTCTTGTGGGTCATTTTTTGGGGTTTCAAGAATGGGCGGAGTTCCTTCTTCACTAACCGTCTCCACGAGTTCTTTACTCCACCGGGGGGTCTCTTCCAGTTGTCGGCTTTCTCAAATTCCAGGCATGCGTTGGGTATCATGTTGGGTTCCATGCGTAGGGTGTGCCCTAGCCATTTGAGGCGTCTTTGTTGTACGGTGGAACTCATGGTGTCTGTCGGAGCACCAAGGTTTCTCAGGCATCTGCAGTTGAAGGAGTCGAGGCGTTGAGTATCGGATGCCTTGACTGGCCAGGATTCACATCCGTACAGGAGCACGCTTTCGACACATGCTTTGTATACTTTCGATTTGATTCTGGTCGGGACTGATCTTTGTTTCCAGAGCTTGTCTAATTGTTTGAAGCGTCCTGTTGCTTTTCCGAGGCGGATCTGGATTTAGTGTGACACGTCACCATCGAGTTGCAGGTTGCTGCCTAGATAGGTGAAAGTATTCACCCTATCGATGGGGGCGTCATTGCAGGTCATTTGGTCTCCAGGATAAGCAGAGCAGAATTTCGTTTTGGATGTGTTTATTTCAAGACCGCCTTTTGCAGCGGCGCGAGTGACTAGATCAAGAAATGTCTGTGCGTCTTTGATATTGTCTTCAAGTAAACAGATATCATCAGCGAAGTCTAGATCTGTAATTACCATATCGTCAAGGGCGATGCCAAGGGGTTGGTTTTCCGTTGCTTCGAGCAATGCCCAGTCGATTACAAGGTTGAACAAGAATGGTGCAAGTATCGAACCTTGTCTGACCCCTGAGACAATGGCAAATGGGTTAGATAGTGAGTTGTAAACCCTGACTGTACTAAACGTTTCTGTGTACATGGCTCTTAGGATTTGGAGGATTTTGGATGGGAGGCCGTGACTCTCGAGGATGCACCAGATTGTCTCGCGGTTGACGCTGTCAAACGCAGCTTTAAAGTCAATAAATACGAGAACAGTCTGTCTATTGTATTCGTGTCTTTGTTCTACTATTTGTCTGATTGCAAATATTTGATCGCGACATCCGCGCTTCTTTTTGAAGCCAGCCTGGTTGTCTCTAGCAACTGTATCATAGGCTGGTTCGAGCCTGTTTTTAAGGATCGCCTCTAAGATCTTGAAAGCGATATTCAAGAGTGAGATGCCACGATAGTTTGAGCATTTGGCTTTGTCATCTTTTTTGTGGTTGGGGACTATGACTGCTGTCTTCCAGTCATTTGGAATCTTCTCCTCTTTCCAAATAAGTGAGAGAAGGCGTTGCAAGTGGGGAAGAAGTTCATGTTGGCTATGAATAAAAAGTTCCGGGGGGATATTATCATTTCCTGCTGCTTTGTTTGTCTTCAATTTTCTTATTGCGAGCGAGATTACGTCCAAACTGGGTGTATCAGTGTTGATTTGTGAGAGGGCTTGGCTGCGAATTTGAGGGGTCGCTAGATTTTTTGTTGGCCGGTTTAGTAGTTGTTCGAAATGGTTGGCCCATTGTTTAATTTTGTCATTTGTATCAGTGATAAGTTTTCCATTCTTGTCTTTCACTGTATCGATGTTTGGGGCTTTTGTTCCGGTTAATTTCCTTACAGCATTGTGTATTCTTCTCGAGTTTCCGTTTGCATCTGCCGCAATGAGATCATCAGCGATGGTCTCGTAGAAGTTCTTTTTATCTACCCTGACCGACCGTTTGATGTCCCTGGAAATGTTTTTTTTTGGATTTTGCTTGCACTGGCCCTGGTTCGTTTTTCCACCAGTTGTAGGGTCGTTGGCGAGATCCAAGGGTTCCGGATTGACTTCTTTTTGGGAATGTTCTTTTCCGTTGATTTTGTCAGCGCGTCTTTGATGCCCGTCCAGTAGCCATTGACGTCGCTTTCGTTTTGCAGGCTACCCAATGTGCGGTTTAGATCATTGCGAAAGGCGTCGGAGACTTTTGGGTTTCTAAGTGTGTTGACATCATGTCGGAAAGATTTGGGGGCTTTTGTGTATACCTTCAATTTGACCTTCAGCTTGGCTTTGAGCATCTTGTGGTCAGACTGAATTAGGCAGTTTTTTTTGGCCCACCGTGCGGACATCATCTATGCCAGATCTCCATCGTTGGATATCCATGTTGGGAGTTTGTGCACCGATTTTTGAAACGTGGTGTTCGATAAGACGAAGTTGTTGTTCATTGCGTAGCTGATGAGTCGATCACCATTGCTGTTGCGATCGCCAATGGTGAATTTTCCAATGTTGGCTGCTTCGGAGTTGCATCTACTTCCAATTTTTGCGTTGAAGTCGCCTGCAACGATCATCAGATCCTTTTTTGGGACCAAGCCCGTCAGCTTGGAGAGATCATCATAGAACTCATCTTTGATTTCGTTTGCTTTGTCTTCAGTTGGGGCATAACTACAGATAATTGAGAGGGGGGCTGGTTTGGCATGGATGCGGATGTAGCATAGGCGTGGTCCCATTGGTCTCCACTCCATAATGTGGTTGGCTAGTTTTGTTTCAACGGCTATACCAACACCATGGAGCCCCTGCTTGTCATCGTATCCGGAGCAATAAAATTTATAGGAGGGAGTGTCTGCAACATCGTTGATGTTGATGGAGGGGGATCCTTGGAATCGGGTTTCTTGGATGCAGGCCACTTGAATATTCCCTAGATGTCCTACATAGAGACATACAAAAATTTTTATTCACCTAGTTGTTTTAACATAACATGCTAAACAGTCCACTTCGCCTCTGTGTTTAGTATGAAAATAAAATGGTCTTTTTAATCAGCAAAAGGTTGCGCGAATTCTTTCTGCAGAAGCAGCTACTCCTTATTTTTTTTATAAGAAAATGTTATGTTTTGGAGAAATTTTCATAATCTCAAAACTTTTCACTCGTCTCACTTATTTTAGTAGAGAAACAACTAAGGTTTTGGGCAAAGTCCAATATTTGAAGTTACGCATTATTTCAGCAAAAGGTTTTTTTCATTAAGTTTGTCAGAATTTTGTTTTAATTCAGGAAGTAAAATGTCGGCGAATGCATGTAAAATCTAAAACAAGTAAATTTGTGACAGTTTAATTTGCTGTGACGAAAAACTTTTATATCGTGTCAGTATTGATTTTTGTCAAAGTCTAAATTAGTCCGAAGAAAAAGTTTCGGGTATATCCAGATTCCGTTTAAATGACCACCCCGCAAGAAGTTATTGTCGTTGCTTATACTTTAGAAACCAAAGCAAAAATAAAATCACAGAAAAGTTTCTTTGGAGAACATAGAAAAAATGTATTTTCCGAAAAGTAAACCATTGAATTGTTTCAAGCGTTGGCAAATGTGTTCAATATTACAAGAAAACTTGATTGTTTCTTCATTGTCCTTTCTCCAAAATTTATACGTTGCCTGGTTTGAATTACCAATTACCAGCTCATTTGGAAAATGAGGTTTCAAACCACTCCCAAGTTAATTATATTAGCATTTTGAGTTGTTAAGAGTAATCTTACCTTCCCATACAACATGAAAAAACGGCATTCAAGCCATTTCCTGAAATTTTTAAACAGGTTTCCTTTATTTGAAGCAATTAAAGTAGTGCCGTAGACAAAAGCGTTGATTTAAAGGTACAGAGTCATTAATTAAAATGGACGTAAGTAACGTAGATGGACTTGAATAGCAGTAGACGTAAATCACCTATTCAATTGCTTCAAAATGTTTAAAATCAATTAGACCTGCAAAACGAAAAAATTTTCCGTCCATCTCAATTTGCATTCCAACTAGGAAAAAGGATAAGATTGTGTGTTCGTTTTTCGAAAAGAAAAGTTTTTGATCAATTTTGGTTGAAACGTTTCATGGCTGAATGCAAGTCATCTCGGCTTCTGTGAGAAGTTATTGACTGATACATACTCACTCGAAGCAAAATGATCTTTGCAAAATGCTGACCACAAATCTAATTTGTCAAACAAATCAAATAGTTATAGCAGCAATATTTTTTTAGAGATGCGTCTGTGATTTTAACATCCTAAATGTTAATGTTTGTTTTCTCGGCAATGGACATTTTATCTTTTCTCCTTTCTCTGGTCCTCGAAAGATTGTCCGAAAGATTCTTCGTTAGTGGTTGGACGTTGATCATCATTGATCATCTGGTGTTCATTTTGCATCTTTGCAACAAGGTGCTTTTGGCAAAATAAAAAACTTCCACATAGTTATAATCAGAATTATATTAAACTCGATACAAGTCAATTTATTTTTGTGCTTCGTGTTTTTGAATATTATCATCACTATTACAGACTTTAGGATTAAGAAGGTTGAATTCTATGAGCTCAAACCAGTTTCTCTGCAGTTGGTGCTGCGGGAGCGGGAGTTTGTTGTAGTTGCACTCCGCGTAGTTTCTCTAAACGCAATCTTCATTTTTCTTCCGTTGGAAAACGCAAAAAAGCTATTACGAATAGTTGAACCTCTTTTCAAGCTGCATCATCATTTTATTGATCGATTTGGGTGACAGTATCCATACATACATCGAGATTTTTAAACTGCAATTGGATATCTTGCACAGTGACTCGAAGTTGGCAAGTGCTCCTTCAGCTATTCTTGATCGAAACAGTCTAAATTTACTCAAAATTGGATGATTACATAAAACATAAAAAAGCATAAATTTCGTTATATTTAGAATATTTGGGTTAATTAATGACCACCCCCCCCCCCCCGTAATGAAGTAATAATCAAAAACGGTAAAACAAGCCATCATTCAAGCCATTCCTCAAGCTAACAATCGTCAATCAATCTAACCAGCCTTCTATCAGGAAATTTTTCTATCACCCAGCAATATATCCTTCAGCCAGCCAGTCAGACATTTATCCACTCAACCACCCATACCTTACGCCATCCATTCTCCATTCATTAAGCCTAGTATCCATCTAGCCAGTCATCTTCCATCACTCCCTTATCTGTCCTTATCTATCCAGCCATCCAACTGTTCAGGTACCAAGACACTCATGCATCAGGCTATCTCCCTTTCCATCCATCAAGCCATCCTTTCGTCAAACCAATCTTCCATCCACCCATCCATGCTTTCAACTACTCATCCATCCGAAAATCTATCCTGCCAGCTATCCATCAAATCGTCATCCTTTCATCAGTTCTTCTAACCGTCAATTCATCTTTCCATCCATCCAAACAGCAATCCATCGAGCCATCTATCAATTTAGCTTTGCACCATGCGTTCATCCATACAACTAGCAATGTATCCAGCCATCCATCTCCCATCAATCCAAGCAGCCTGCTTTCTGTCCATCCATCAATTCCCAAGTCATTAGTTTTTCCAGCTAGCCATGCATTTCTTCATCCTTCCATCCAACGTCCATCTTTCCAACCATCCGTACATCGAGGCATTATCATCCATCAGTGCCACCAGCATTTCATCAAGTCACTATCCATCTAGCCACTTATTGTTCATCCATGCAATCAGCCATCCGTTTATCTATCCACCCATCCATCTATTCAGTTATCCATCGATCTAACCAGCCATCCATCCGTACCTTAAGCAATCCATTGGACCATCCATCTACCCATCCATCTTTCCGTCCAGCCATCCATCCAGCCATTGATACAGCCATACCTCAACTGAGCCATCGGTCCATCTTTTTATCCACCCAGCCATCAATCCATACATCAGCCGACCTTCCATACATCCATCCATCCACCCCTACCTCCATCGATTCATCCATCAGCAATCAATCCAGCCAACCAACGATACATTAGCCATCCATGGAGCAATTACCGAACTTTTTCCGTTTAATATAAATGCTGCCATTTTTCAGGAGCAGCTTTAGCTGCAGTGGGCCGTCAGTTGCCAATGAAAGAAAAATGTAGACTAAAAAGTCTACAAATAGATTTTATGATTGTTTCCGATGATATTTTTTCCAAACTCTCAAAACAATGTTGTGCAATATGTGCTTGAAACTTTGAGTGATATAGGATTTATTTTGATCAAATTTCATTCCGTATTATGTTTTTTTTGTGCATGTGTTATTTTCTAGAATGCCATTATTCGACTGGGTGACCCATATGACGACTGCGGCGAGTACGGGACCAGAGATAGACCCTATTTGAACAAAAAGGCAAGAATTTGAAACGTTATTGAATGAATGGCAAAATTTGAGAAATAATATCTAGCGCGTGAATTTAAACTTAGTTAACCCTCCAGAAAACTAAAATTGCCTCCAAACAACCGACAATAAGATGATATGGAAAAAATAATCAAAACAATCCAGAACAATCAATTTCAACTGCTTGTACACATTAGATCTGCTTTGAGATATTTGTATCTCAAACCACCACCCCTAATGCAAAAGGGCAAATACGTTATTAGGTTCATGTTTCACCCTGCTTAGTCTCTGTTTAGTCCTTAATAGAAACGGAAATTGTTTGCTGTGTACCATACATTTTTTTTGAAATATTGGTCAGTTGTTTTCTTTTTTTTCAGGAATGCATTTTCAACTGTGTACAGTATGCCAAATTGGCCCGATGTCAGTGCTCAGACAACATCGAGTACTCTAAGCTGTTGTGTCGTCTCAACGACAGTAAGTCACTCGCATCAAAAGAAGTAGAAATAGTTATGATGATATATATCATCAAATTTTTATCAAAGCAGCTGTGATATCACAAGAAGGAACTAATGTAATGATGGCTCTTATCCAAAACTAATATAGCGTTTTTTTCTCTCAGTCCGGAAGCATCGGCAGCTGATGCTCAGAAAACGCTTGAGCGTTTTTACTTGCAAAAATGATTAAAAACTGGTTTATATGAATAAATTCAAAGGATTTGTCAGGAAAAAAATCAAGTGAAGGTACGGAAAGCATGCTTTGAAGCTGATATGCTGAAAAATGTTTCCGTTCAAAATTTTTCAATTCGAAGCTGATGCATCTTAAGATCTAGGTCCTTTGAAACAGCTTAGAGAAGCCTGCTTGTTAATTTAACTTCGAATCTGCTTAGTTTTATTTTTTTTAAATGTACTGTTTTGAGCATGAAATTTAGATTACGTGCTTTTTTGAGGAGTTGGTAGCTAATCACTTTTGCAGGAAACTATTTGCACTTTATAATGTCTTTGTGATTTTCATGAAGGTATTCTTGGGTAAAAGCTGTTAGTAGATTAAGCTTAATTTAGAGAAATAGGCGTTAAAAAAACTTAGAATCTCTCTGAAAAAAATTATATGGACCCCCTTGGTGCCTGTGAGAATTAAATTCGGCAACAGGTGTCTCAGAAATTTGTTTAATTGCTCAATAGTCAGTGTCGTTATTTAGATTTCGCCTAAAAGCCCAATAGGAACGTTTTCTAGAAAAAATTTATGAATTTATTTTAAGAATTTTTAAAGCGTTTGATATCCAGAGATTAACAGTCCAATGATTGAATGTTTGTACTTGCCGTAGGAATAAAGTTTTTTGATCTTGTCGTTAAAGTTTGAATGACAATTTGGGCTAACGTTAAGCTTTTTTTGTAACCTATTTGCTGTTGAGTCTTTTGAAATTTAGGAAGACCGGTTGGCAGTATTCTTGCCATTTTGCGTAGTTCCGATACTTTTCTCACTTGAGTATCAAGAAAAACTTAAATTTCACCTCTGTTTTTTACAAACTAATTTCACTTTTGTAAACATGAGAAATCCCTAGAAAAATTACCGAGCTCGTTTGAAAATTTCTTCATTTTTTTTACTTCATTATTTTTACTGTGTGCCTAATATATATCCGAATAATCTCTAACTAAGTAAACTAACTAAACTTTTGTCGATGAGTGAGCAAAAACGCCTAATTGCAAAATAGTTGCATGAAAAATTTCAGAAAGTTTTCAGACATGCTTGGTGTTGGATAGAAACAATCGTAAAAAGTGAAAAATTGCACTTCTTTGAAACATCAGTTGTTCAACAAAGTTCGATTGTGAAGTCTAAAGTATTTAAAATGTTTCCCTATCAAATGTGTCATCAGTGAAGTATTTATTGAGATTGATTTTTTCTTGGTTATTCTGGCAAATAAATGAGATTTTTCTCGGCGTTCAGTTAAAGCAATTTTGTTTAAAATAAGTCACCGTTTTGTTCAAAGCAGCCTGTTTAAAACAATGGAAAGAAGACTCTTTTTTTAAAATTTAGTTTTGGAGCTGCAATTTAATTTCTGGTGCATGAAATTTTGATTACATGGTTTTTTTTGAGGAGTTGATAGGCAATCACTTGTGCGTAAATTAATTGTGCGTTTTTTACCCGCAGCTGTTAATCGAAATAGCCGTTACTCTCTTATCAAGTAAAACTACTAAGTTTTTTAGTGGATGCGTAATCTAAAACGACCTTTTTAGATTCACGTTTTTTTCAAGTTCCCAGAAAATTGTTGGTTTTGGAGAGAAGCTATCGATTGTTCTTCTGTGAGATACAAGAAATCAAAAAAGTGAAGCTCAATTGCCTACTCACTGAGATATACTTTTCTTCTTGGTTGTTCTGGCTAAGCCTCGAGACGAGGTTTGTGTTGTATTGCAACTGATGCGAAGCTCCGCCTCGCTTCTATTTCAATTTCGCCTCTATTTCAATTTTCTTATGTTTGTGTTGTATTGCAACTGATGCGAAGCTCCGCCTCGCCTCTATTTCAATTTCAGGTAATCTTGAAAAGGTTCTCCGCAGAAAAAATTTGGAAAAATTTTTGTTAGTATTTTTGACACTGCTAAAAACCCATTGAAACACTCTAAGTTGAAATTTGATGTCTCAATGAAAAGTTATTAGTTTTTGTTACTTTCGTTTAATTTTTGAAAAATGTCTAAGTTATCTGCTTTAGTTGACTTTTTGTTATATTGGCAGTAATGATGCATTTTTAAATCAATCTTTCTCCAAAGCTAATTTGTTTTGCATTTTTTTTCCTATTTTAAGGTTTTTCCAATGCAGTAATCTAACTATCTCTAACAATTTTTCTTTGCAATAGGGTTTTTTTCTAGCTATCTACTTAGAGATTGCTTGATTTCATTTTCTTTTTTTTAGTCAACTAAAAATGATTATAATTCTTTGCAATTATTTATGTGATTGCACTGTTTTTTATTTGCGCTTCAATTGGAAAGCTTTGAATGCGTAATGATCTGTCGAAAACGTTCAGAACTTTTTTTTATGATGACCGCTAAAATTAGATCATTTTTAAAACTGATATCTCTCGTAGTTTTACTTAACTGGAAGAATGCTTGTTAGGAAAAAAATCTTTTTTGGGCTGGGTGATCTCAAGATGAAAAAGATTACGGTGAAATAACTTGCAGTGAATGAAAAATGAAGGCGAATTATACAAATTAACTGTAGCCTTAATTAAACAAATTTTCCGAGTGTGACCCAATATTGGCAGCTTTTTAGAGATACCAAATAACTCTAAATAGTTGTTTTTGTTGATCAGAGGATTAGAGAACTTAACTCTTAGTTCATTGATAGAAATAAGCAATGTGAATCTTCATCAAGAATAAGTTTGTCTTTGTACTCGCTTTTCATGGTTAAATTCAATTACACTTCTTTGTTACCTGTTTTTAGTTTGCAGCACTCGTAATTTGGAAAAGATCCAATCACAACATGGTTATTCAGTGAATGATTGAACTGGCTGAGTATATTTTTACTCACCCAACTGACCAATATTTTATTAGTGATTTTTCATTTAAACTTGAGTTTTTTTTGCTGTTGCGATTTCACGAAAATTGTTGTTAATTTCTAGCTCCGTTGCGAGTATACTGTCAATGTTGACACTTAAGTGATTTGTTTTTTTTTGGTTCTTTGATTACTGTGTCTGCTATTTTTCTTGTCTTTCAAGTCAGTTTGTGACATCTGAAGCACTTGAATTCAATTCTGTCAAACTTTATTCTGTCATCGTTGAAAGTGTGTTTGTGACGTTTGAAGAACTCTGAAGGTCTATTGGATTGACTTCCAGATTCGTTTTCATCATATTTGAGCTCGATTTTGAGCGATAATTCAACTAACTATATTCGTTATGTCTCATTTTGCAGTTGTTGTCTAGCTGTTTGTCCAAATCATCGGCGTAAGTATTGAATACGAGCGGGCCCTCTGCCTTGCCTTGATGTACTTCTTGCTTAATTTCGATTTTATCCGAGAAGCAGTCTTTTAGGTGAACTTTCTGCGTTTTCTGTGTCAATAAGCTATAGAGTATGTCTAAAGCATTAGTTTCAAAGCCCAACATCTCTGATTTTCTCAGTAGCATTTCAATTGAAATGGAATCAAATGCTTGTGGAAGATCAAGGAACGCAGCCTAATTTGTTCATCGGGTTGTTCGAAATGAAGTATTGGATAACAATTAATTTTTTCATTTAGAAATGCATAAAACTGATCTTTGTCGTTCTTTTTTGTCATGCATTTGTTTTTCATTAGTTTTTTCCATTAAACTTTGTATGAAGTAACCAAATAGTAGACAAATCATTATGTGAGACGTTTCTATGAACTACTACTACCTCTTTGAAGTCTTGGTCACTGAATATATGATCTATAAGGGTTTTTAATATATGAGTGGTACTTATTTGTGTCAGCAACCGTTTTTTAACTATTTTTAGTTCGTACGGATTAATGACAGACTCTAAACAACCTAAAGAATTGTTGTTCAAATTTTTTATTTCATAGTCGTCTATAAGGACAAGGGCTTTGTTTTAACTATTTATGGAATCAATGTCACAATTTTCAAGAATTAGTTCAGCGTGTCTCGTATTTAGAGAAGGAGAAAGGTTCAAAAAGCTGATTCAAGTTTATAAGCTCTCAGTTTGTTGTTGCTAAGATGTTGTACGTCATCTCTTAATTTTGGAATGAGTTTTTGAGGATGCATAAAATCAAACCTCCACCTGGATTTTTTGTTTGATCTATCTTGTCTAATGAACTGATAGCTAGGCTCAATCATTGATAAGTTTTAGGGGTAATCGTGTTGATGTCAAGTTTTCGTCCTTCCCAGGATTGTAATTTTCCCAGATAACACCAGGAAAATTTTGATGCTTTTGATTTTCCTGCTTATGTTTTGAACGTTTAGCTGAAATGTATTTGATTTTGTTTCGGAACAATCTAGGATGATTCCAAGTTTCGTATGAATGTGTTCGTATACTAACGTTATGTATTCGTATACTTGATTTTTTTGGAATGTTACCACAGAACCCGAAAAAAAATAGAGCGCGAAAGAAAATACTGCTTTAATTTTTGCTTTTAAGTCGATGTGGGTCTTTGGCTTTCTACTAGAATTCTACAATTGGAAAGTTAAATCACTTCCCAACAAAAACGGATATAATATCATTAAGAAATATGTTGATTGCTGCAACACAAATCATAAACACGCATTTTTTGGACGAAAGTATCATCAATAGTAGCTATACAAACTCATCGGCATCTGATTAAACACATCATGATAATTCTGGTCAAGGTTGTGTTTTGCCTCCTTTTTTGGTCATTTTTGAGCCTTCAACATAAGAGAATGAGTTTGTTCAAGTAGGGGTTTTGCGTTTCCCTGATAATTGTCTCTAAAAGCATTATTTTTTTTTGAAATCAATGTTTTTTTTTCAGGAAAAGAACGCCATTGTTGTCCTTGAAATAAATTTTGTCGAAATAATAGTCATAGCATTCGCCAATTTTTTTTGTCGCTCATTTAGTTAAATTACATCAAACACTTCGCGATCATAATAATCAATCAAAACGGCATTTTTTTGATCGATTCGAAATTTTTTGAATCACTGCTGGCTTTTTTAGTCAGCGGTGCCACTTCACAGACAAAAAAGTATCGGGCGAGAACTGTTCGCAGCATATATCAACTAATTTTTTCAGTCATTTAAGATATCATTAGCGCTCTTTTCGGCATTTAAAGTACGGTTTCTGCCATCTTGCAGCACTGGTGATTTTATTTTTTTTTCTGATCACATATTCCAACCACCTTAGTTCTTTCCTGGGTGTTAGTGCCTTAAGTATGTATTTGGGTGTCTAGAGGGGTACCAGGGTTGCCAATTCACGAAACTATACTGGGTTCTATGAATGATCAAGTCCGTAACCTGATCTTCAATTTCCAATAATTTATAATCTCTAACCTTTTCTCTCCTTGTAAGGTTTCATATTTAAATTTATTTTACCATCGGCAAGTAATCTTTTTTGTTTCGGGTTTTTGTGACTATATCTTTTGTAGTTTAATGATAACTTGTATCTCTTTAACCATCCACCTTAAAGTAATAGGCGGAGAGAGTCATTACTGTATACAAAGTTCACATGGCTTAACCGATGAAAAAGTTTTTTATAAGGGGAGATTCGTTAGTAGGTACAAACTTCACATCTGCTTCACACCGTTAAATTAGTTCCTTATAATGAAGAGATTTACTACTCTTAACCATGGGTGAGTGGCAGTTAGAGATCCGATATCTAAATCTAAAACGTTATTCAAAAGCAGTTGGCCTTGAGTTAGGACCAGTTGTTTTTATACCGTTTGACTTTCAATTAACTTGAGCACGAATCTGTTTAGCCGAGAGTCAGGAGTGTGTGAAGTGGGTGGAGGGAGGATTTCTGCCGGAGAGGGACTGCGATTGTCCCCCCGAGTGCCACCTGGACTACTTGGACACCAGACTCGAACAGTCCTTCTGGCCCAGCATGAACTCCTTCGTAAATAAATTTAATGATTTAAAACTACTTAATAATCCAGACAAATTAATAAATGACAAACAAAGAATGTATATTAAAAACCCCTTTAAACCTTGAGGCCAAGGCATGTTGACACTTATTTGACAGGCACCAGTCTGTCAATAATTTTTTCGGTTTGCACTGACTGACCTATAATCCTCTTTTTAGTTGGATTGTTAATAACAGTTGGATTGTCGATTATTGTGTTCAAATCAAATGAAGAACCATTATGCAAGATCAATAGTGCTTGAGAAGCGTTAAAAAATCCAATAACTGTGGAAAAACTGCTCTTTTTGTTGAAATGGGATTTTTTGTGCGTCTGTACGTACCCGAGTCGAGATTTTTCACCTAATTTGAAGCAAGATTTGAGCGGTTTGAGCGGTTTTTTTAGACAATTACGCTCAAAATCTTGCTTCAAAATGAGCGGTTTTTGAACGGTTTATCTAAAAAAACCGCTCAAAAACCGCTCAAATCTTGCGCGGTTTTTGAGCGGTTTTTTTAGATAAACCGCTCAAAACCGTTCAAATCTTGCGCGGTTTTTGAGCGGTTTTTTTAGATAAACCGTTCAAAACCCGCTCAAACCGCTCAATTTGAAGCAAGATTTTGAGCGTAATTGTCTAAAAAAAACCGCTCAAATCTTGCGCGGTTTTTGAGCGGTTTTTTTTAGATTAACCGTTCAAAAACCGCTCAAACCGCTCATTTTGAAGCAAGATTTTGAGCGTAATTGTCTAAAAAAATCGCTCATACCGCTCAAATCTTGCTGAAAAACCGCTCAAACCGCTCATATCTTGAGCAGTTTTTGAGCGGGATCTCGACCCGGGAGTAGAATTAATGATTCTTCTGTATTACATACCATAGTAACCTAAGCCTAAGATTATTTAGTTTTTAAGAGTAATGAATGTGGTGAAGACCTATACAGGTCTTAGTCATTCTTTTTTCAGGAAAAAGTCTAAAACTTGTGCTTAATTTGGATTTTTCGCGTTTTGGCTTGTGATTTTATTTTAAAGCTCAGTGCATATCCATTGTAAAATGCAAGGTTACTCCACTATCGAACATAAAATGTCCATCATAAATTGTTTTACAAACTCACATAACTTTAAGGCCATCTCTTTTTTCATCGAAACTTTGAAGATTTGAAGATTTCTTTTTGAAGATTGTTTTTTTTTCAGTTTTCTTGCGTTCATTACTCTTTTCCAACTGTCAGTTGGCTATGTTCAGATTTTCCAGTGAAATAAATTTTTTAGGTATTGATCCAGTTTGTCATGTTGGGTAAAATTCAAGAAAAAAAAATAATTAGAAAATTTTCTAGAGATTCAAAGCGTTTTAAAGCCATCTTTTTCCTTTGAAGTTCGAGGCTTGAGAATTTTTAAAAAATTAAGTAGTTTTTTTTCTGTCTCATTGCGCTTATTATTTTTCTTTCCAATTATCATTTGGCTATGTTTAAGTTAAGAAGTAAAGCACATGAAAGGTCGAACTAATGATCGCTCGGGATCTACAGAATTATTCCTACCACTGACAAGAAATGTTAACAGTTGATCGACGTTGTCTATATCCCCCGAATTAGAAATAACGAGGTTAACATTATGAAACACATGGGAGTTCTACAAGCGATGATTTGACCCGGTCATGCAAAGATCGGGTCTCCTCAGTCCGCGCTGATGCAAATGATATTCGTTCCCTGAAGTGCTATTTGCCTTATTAGAACTCAGTAAAATGCAGTGGGATTGGGAGTAACATTTAGTTTGCTATAGATTAGTTGAGGTAAGCTTCAGGTTTGAATCCCAAAACCCTGATCCTTACCTCAGGTAATATGCCTTGAGTAAATAGTCCCACACATGCTTCCGGTAGTCATTTTGAAGGCAATTTTGTTTTTATGGCGGCAATAGAGACTAGATACAAACCCCCGAAAGAGACCTTTGGTGAACAAAGTTCCTCGGCAACTCCTTCCTGTGTTATTAGCCCTTTTCCAGTAAAAGTGATAATTGGCCTTAGAAATGAATAACTAAAAAAATTGCTGATGGGATTTGGATGAGACGTGGTAGATAGGACCTCTATGGGACGTTAAACCCAAATATAGATAAATATAGAAAATTGTCCACTGGTGGCCCCGGTATGACTTTTTAATTGACCTTAGGCCCAGTGCTTAGGACCTAACTTTCAACGAAACCCTCAGGATGAGCACCGGAAATTGTTTTGTTTCACAGCCCTAACTCTTGAAATGGGATTCGGTCACCTTATTTGTAAATGGGAAGAAAGTTGTCGACTGTAAAATGAATCAGAAGATGAAAAAGATAGCCTTTGACTTGTAACGCTGAAGTAGTGGATTAAATAAAAGTGAAACAGGGCAAACGATAAATTGAATATGGTTTTAATATCTAAGCTATTAATAACAACTCAACTAGACCAAAGAAAACTAGTCACAGAGGAAATGGGCAAAAATAGGAGTACAACGCGGGATGTTAGTCTCATAATTGTCACATTCGTTAGTTGTTCAGTTAGTGGACTAGTTATGTGATTAGATGTTGAACCCGAGTTATGGACTGCGTTGGATTATTTGCGTGATCGAATTGAGATTTTGGAGTTGGTGAGTTTAGAATCGAGTCAACTGAGACTCGAAGGGTAGTTGTAAGAAGTCTATCTTCCTGGGTCATCAAAATGGAGTGTTTGATGGGTAAAAGTTGCGCATGTTTGTTTGTTTCAGCCCTCGTCGATAGTGCAATCGTACCAAAGTGTGAACTCTTCTGTTGGCGTGCAGTACATGTATGACACGATCATGCCCTACCTCACATCTGGTGGCCAACAGGAGGCGCTGTCACGATTCAGGTCACTTCAAGTCTCAAAATCCCCTCCCCTCAAAATATTTGTCGGAAAAGTTTTTTATAGAATATAGTTTTTCAACTTTCCTTCTTGCCATTATTAATTTTTATTTAATCATTATTAAAATTTTCCATCTTGATTTTGGTCTTATGTAGAGATTGTAGGAACTCATTTTGGCTATTTTGTTTTTGTTCAGACAAACCTTTGCCAAAGTGAACGTGTACTTCTCTGACCTTACGCTCACCACAATGGAAGTCACTCCCTCATACACGGTATCTGTTAAACAAATTATAAACAAATCCCTATTCTCGAAACGAAACGTACAACTTGGCCACTGTATCATCAAACACGCATTTGTACTATACCAAAAATGCATCATAATCTTAACGAGAGACACATCTTTGGCTCTCCCTCAAAGCCGAAAGCTCGTGTGTGGGTCGTTTTTCTCGTAGATAAATGGCTTGAATAAGCAAAGTTCGTTACTCGAAGATTAAACTGATATTTGTGCTGCCTCTTTCCGTTTTGTTTCTGGGTACTTGAAACCAAAAATACCAAAATATGGAATGAAATAGGGCAGGTATTTTTTGAAAATGAGGTTAAAAAGATGTTTTATGGCATTTGTTCGCTATTAAGATTGAAAGCTTTTTGTTGCTCGTCATTAGCGATCAAAGTTAATTGTCCGCCAAACTTTGTCTTTATCTTTCGATTTTTTATAGTTCGAGGGGCTCGTTAGTGGGCTCGGAGGACTTCTTGGGCTGTGGATAGGACTGTCGATGCTCAGCATCTGTGAGTTATTCGACGTAGTTCTAGATATGTACGGATTATGGCTCCTTCGAGAGAAACGCGAAAAGTACAAGCACCTCGAAAACACTATAATTCCTGGAACCCTGCAGACCGCTCAGAATCAACCACACGGATCCCAACATGCTGTACAAAACGAGTCTGAGCAGCAGACGTCAACCCGACCACCCCCTAGAGGGAGAGGTAAACGAGGAAGGAAGCGAAACAAGGGGAGGATGATGATGTCTGTTGCTGCACCAAGGCAGAACAACCAAGTGTCCGACTCGTCTCTTTTGTATCCTCCGATAATGACGGCAGCAAATATGACCACAGGAGGAGACGATGATCAAAATAGAGATCACATTCTCCTCTTGGCGGCTTGAATTATCATATCTCCTGATTCTGCCAAAAATTACTGCCTCGGCGAAGATACAGCAAATACTAGAAAACATATACGGATCTACTTCTAATCTAAGCCCCCATTTGTAGCACGTTTGGAGTACTAATATACCCCCCCCCCCCCCAATAATTTGGTTTTGGAAGACAAAACATGACTATAGCACTAATGATGGAAACAGTGAAAATGAGTTTTCTTTATGGAATCATAAAATTTCGAAAAGTTCCAAAGTTGATTCATCAGATTTTGAAATTTCGATCGCTTTTAAAACAATATAATTATTTCATTTTGTCTAATTTTCTTCGCACCCCTACCCCATAAAAAATTGGGCTAGCTCAGCTGAAAAGGAATGTCAGAAACGAAAGAAAAACGACGGACCCTTTTGGTAGCGAAGGGGGTCAAATGCGTTACCCTAAATGAGCCTCTGAGTGGTGGGGAAGTTTGAATTGCCATATAGCCCACATAGACAAAGCGGAGTGGAAGCTATATTGCAATAGCAATCACTTAAATGTGAAATAGATCCAAGATATCAATTTAAAACTGTTGGTCGATCATGCTTTTAATAAAAATAAATATCGAACATGCTAATAAATCACTACTCTGCAATCATTTCAAAATAACTTCTTACTCTGGAAGATCGATATATTTATAAATTACAAGTCGAAGTTTATATTTTGAAATTGAAATTTATTTCAGTCTTACTTGACAGCCAATGTAGTTGAAACGAGAAGACGTGAAGCTAAATGTAATTGCAATCATCCAGCTATCTCCACCTGCACTTATTCCTTACTCTCGACATTGTCGGATAAAAATTCGCTAAATGAAAACAGTCTGTTATTTTTTTTGTTCGACATGAGTATGAAGTGCCAGTATATTCAAGATGACGTAACAATTAAGAGCATGTCTCTTGGTGTATTGGAAATTGAGGCTCTTTTTTCTCATTCCCAATTTACTTCGTTTTACTTTCCTGATAAGTTGTTTAACTAGCGGCCGGGCAAATTGTATAGATTTGTTAGAGCATTTAAATGAGCGGAGCGTAGTGCAATAACACTGCTCGTATATCAGGGCAAAGCCCTGAATGTTCCGACTAACCCCTAAATCATAACAAATAGTTTTTGGGAAAACAAAATATTGAAAACCTATACATTTTTGAGAATATCAAAGTTTAAAATTATGAGTCGCGCGAAAATAATACGACCAATTAGCTAGCCTCAATTTAATTTAGAACAATTTTGTCGAGCGGGAAAATCGGCCACGCATAAATAATTCTCTCAGCATTATGAATAAACTCGTTATGCTCTCAGCATTATGAATAAACTCTTAAAAGCGCGCATAGTTTAGTCCAGAACACGGCCAATTTGACAATTTTCAAACCCCCAGAACTTTACAAAAAAGTAATTACAGATGAATTTTCTTTCTACATTTGAACTCAGGAAGTTGATATCTTCATCAATTGTGTATAAACAATTTTTGTTGAAAATTGTTATTTCGATCGGTGAAAATTGACTGAATAAAAAACGACATTCCGTTTTCTTCAGAAGTCGGAACAATAATGCGATACAACATGTTTACAACAAGTCGCTAATGAGAGCGCTACTTTTGGTGGCATTTTCAAATCAGCAGGCTACATTAGCCTTATAATACCGTTGGCTTTGATGTTTGCTTAATAATAAACAAACCGAGTTGATGCTTTTGTAATTTAACAGTAGAACCAAACAAAACTGCTCGTATATCAGGGCAAAGCCCTGACTGTTTCGACTGCCCCTTATTTCATAACGAATTGTTTTTGTGAAAGGAAAATTTTGAAAACCTATCAATTTTGGACAGTATCAGAGTCTGAAATTTTGAGTCGTACGAAATACCAATTAGCTAGACTCAATTCTTTTTGGAAAAATTGTTTGAGCGGGTTAATTCGCCACAAATAAATAATTAGCGTTACGCTCTCAGCATTATGAATGCATTCGTTATAGCGCGCATAATTTAGTCCAGAACATGACCAATTTGGCAATTTTCAAACCCCCAGAACTTAAGAAAAAATGATAGGAGGTAGATTTTTTTTATTTGAACTCAAAAGGTCGATATCTTCAATTAGAGGTGGAAAAAATTGTTGAAAACTATTTTTTCAATCGGAATAAATTGACTGAATAAAAAACCATACCGAGCAGAAATTTTTAGTTTTCTTCGAAAGTCAGAACAAAAAGGTTTTTGTTCCATATAACAATATAGTAATCGAAATCCTCTTTCAAAGTTTTCTATTTCGATATACTTCGCGAGACTTTTCAAACGCATATTTTTCCCAATTTCGTAACAAAAGAAAGGGAATATTTGTGCTAGGGTGGTTTATCTCCAAACAAATTTCGACTTTTTAACTAGCCATTTTTGACGACCCTTTTATATCATTCAAAAAGTATTTTGTCCTGAGCTTAAGTTTGGAAAGATATTTTAAATGTGATTATTTTTCCGTAAAGTTAAGGGGTTTGAAGATTACATTTTGGCCAATTTGAGACAATTAAAGCGCTAAATAATACGTGCAAAAGTTGATGTTTTTGTTTTTTAAAGCTCCTGAATTATTGAAAGTTTCTCGCTCGAGTTATCGCAGTTGCAGATGTAACTTTGTACAAGAATTGGAGTTACACTCAATGATTCCTTAGGGAGTAATATTGCTTCCATGAGTTTGAAAATGTAAAGACCAAAATCTGGATTTTTAATTTTTGTCAACCAGAATTGATTATTCAAAAACCTAAACTAAAATGTGAACTTGAAGTTTTGGTTCAAAATCAATATGGGTAGCTGAGAATCAGCAGACAATCAATCGGGCTAATACGCGTAGCATGCTTGATTGTCAGCCTAAAGATAAGATTTTTTGTGGGAAATACTGGCGCTTATTGACATTGTATACCGACGAAAACCAGACGCAACTCAAATACCAGCACAACTCAAATACTACCAGGCCAAAAACCTATCAAAAATTTTCAGATAACAATAGTTTTCAAATTAGAAAAAGACTATAAAAAGCACCTAGGATTACTTCTCAAGAAGCGTAGGATGTTCTGACCAAACTGAATTGAAAAAAAAAATTTAAAAAATTAAGAAAACTTTCAAAAATTTACTTCAGCTAATCAATTTTAAAAAAACTATAGTATCTTGATTCTAAAACAGCTGTTCTAAAAAATTAATTTAGTTCAGGATCAGTAAGGTTTTTAAATAATACCCCTCGGGGCTCTCTGTGAGTCTTAAAGTAATCAAAATTGATGAGAAATTTAAAAAACGGACAATATTCCATGGTTTTTTCTTTTCTTCGAGAGTGGTCATAACAATCAAAAATCAAACAAAAGACGAGAATAGTCAATAAACTTAGAGGGAACTCGGAAACGAAAAAAAATTTTTATGAATAAACGGACTAAAGTTTAGAAATCATATGTACTCACTGAAAATTTGAAGAAAATTGAACAAGCAATGCAAACATTCTGACCACAGTTTTAATCTGGAAAAAAAAGAAAAACAGAGCAAACCCGAGAAAAAAACTCCGAGAGGAGTGTGTATATATGTTTTCTTAAATTTTAAGAAATTATAACCTTATACTGGCTTGATCAACGTTTTTTAATATTGAGAATTATACGAAGTTATTTCAACGCTTCGAATGCATCAAAAATTTGAACCAAATCAACCAAATTTGTTTTTGCTGGGTATTTAAATATACGAAAATGTCAACTTTGCAGTGAAAAGATTTAAAATTAGTTGAGCTACTTAATTAGCAGAACAAATTTTAAAAATTAATTATTTGAAAGTATGCACGAAATTTCTTGTTGTCTGATAGCCAAGTGTGCTGTCTTTTTGCTACAGAAATGGTTAAATTAGGCCTAAAAACAAACAAACAAGTTTTCTTCTGAATTTTTACTTTAAAACTATCTATTAATTCCACTGGATTTTTTACTTAGAGCTGTTTATGTTGTTTAAGCAATTGTGTTTGCTGCAAAGTGCATCTTCGTTTCTGTGTTAGAATGAAATTTGGTTTGTGAAGTCGGTAAAATGAATTAATTCATATATTTTTTGGTGATTTCTACATCTTTTTTTCTCGTCGCTCTTTGACTAAATTCTAACCAACTTACTGTGACAGGTTTTACATGTTTTGTCCCAATCATTTAAACCAGCACTGCTGTTTCCGATTTCACATCGTTCAATATACACGTTAGAAGAAACTGCATTGAAAACTGATAGTTGTCTTTCTAGACGGTAAATAATCCGGTCGAAAATCGGCCGATTATTTATCTGCTTATATTTCGTCGGCTTAGTTGCCAGGTCCAAGAATCGTTTTCTTTGCGGCAAAAAACTTTCATTGTAATTGCTATAGAGGTTTTAGCATTTCACAAATCCTGCGGAATCGTCGAAATTTGTTTTATCCTCGTTTTCATTTTTGTCTTTTTTATCGGATTAATAAGTTTGCGTCTCTTATTGCGTCGTTAGGGGATCAAAAAACAAAAAAGTGCGTGCCTGTGCTCTGAGGGGAAAAAGGACATTAATTTTTTTATTGGTTTAGCATTTTTTTTTTAACTTTTTTCGGCATGACAGGTTTCTGCTAAAATATTTTAGGATTTGTTACCACTTTGTAATTATAATTTCAAATTCAATCTAATATCCGGTTCATCTAGCGTAGAAGTCACACAACTGTTTGAGACCGCTTTTTTGACAATTTTTTTTTGATAAATAATTCGCCTCTGTCTAATAACTTCACATACAACCAAATATCCGGAGCATCTGGCGTAGAGGTAACGAAACTGCTTGATACGGCAAAACCTCGGAGTTGAGACGGCAAAGCCGTGGTCTAAAATCGGTTGGACTTGTTTTTTGTAAATTAAAGTTGTTGTGCGTTTTTGAAATATCTTCCTTATGTTTTTTGTCGGATTAGTTCACGAGCATTCCGAAAGCTACTTGTAAAATTTTTAATGGTTTTGAGAGAGAAACACTTTCGTTGGTACAGTCAGAATCCGAAACAAAATTGGCTGCCCGGCATCATCGCCTACATATAATTGTACAATAGTGCACGTCATAATAGCATGTAAATTATAATGTAAAAACATGTAATACAACAGAAATATTTTTTCATTTATCCTAAAACCCTTACAGCTTTCGCAAGTTTGCGTAAATAAGGAGACACTTGAAATAATTTAAGATAAAACTCATTAGTGAGTTTTTAAAACGTCCCAGAGATAATACGGGGTTCTTATTTGAGATTTCGGTATTGGTTTGATGAAAAACAAACTTGTTCTTTGGTTTTCAAAAATTTTGCATCTAGCAATTTCTGATTTTGAAATGCTGCGAGTCGGTTGTTTTGATGTTTACAGAAATAAATAAGACAAGTTTTTTCTATTCTATACCTTATTGGCGAGAATCAATGTAGTTGATTTTGTCGTATTCGATTGCCGACATGCCCGGAGACTCCAAATAGTTGTTTTTCCAAAATTCCAAGCAAATTCTCAGACAAAGGTGTCATTAGAACCGCCGGGCAGTTTAGATGTGATAACACTAAGTTTTTCAGTAGCGATAACTTAAGTGTTAAGGGTAAAATATCCGCGATTGTATGTACTCTTTTTTTGCGATTGCCATTTTTCGTAGAACCTTTTTAACCTCTCGGTTGAACTTTAGCATACTATAAAACTTGACACCGAGATATTTAATAACATCCTTTTCTTCGAGTTTAGCTTCATTTACAACCACTTATTGATCCCCTAATTTCGATCTCAATTCATTTGCAGAAAATTATTAGTTTCCTTTTATCGGTATTAAGAGATACATATGTGGATTGCAAAAAATCATATAAAAAGAATTTTTTTCCCACTAGCATCTTGGCTTCGTTCAATTTCTCATTAGATTCATAAATATCAGTGTCATCTGCATATTATATCATTTTGCAAGCTTTGGAGCAGCAATCGCTAATATCATTGACGCATAATAAAAACAAAAAGCGACTCAAGTAAATTTCCTTATGGAACGCCTTGTTTGACCCACAGCCAATCAGAACTAATGTTGTTGATTTCAACTCTTTGTGTTCGATTAGTAAGGAATGATAAAGTCATAGAAAAAGAGTCATTATTGAAGTCTATGGTTTTCAGTTTTTGAAGTAACAAATTGTGGCTGATGGAGTCATGTCAAACGCTTTTGAAAGGTTTATAAAAAGAGTTGTTACGAAATTTTTCTCCTCTATGTCTGCACGCAATTTTTTTAGTTTTGCATTAAAAGTGCATCAGCTGGACAAAAATGCTTTAAAAGCCAAATTGTTTTATCATTTAGAATGGAGTTAGAATCTGAATAATCGTGAATTTGAATGGCTAGTATTTCATTCATTTTTTTTGCGAACCAGGTGTTAAAGATATTGGCCAGTAATTAGTTGGATCTTAAATGTCACCTTTTTCAAAAGTTGGCGTCACAGTGGCTTGTTTGAACTTATCTGGAAAGATGCAGGAGCCAATGCTTTCATTTATAATTTTTGTTAGGGGTTTGTAAAGTTCCGTTTTCCCATCAGTTAAATCCAAGTGGGTATTTTTGAATTGCCTGATGATTTTCTCGGGTGCAATTTTTTGACGGCATCTAAGCCTTCTTTTTATCTGTCGGATAGAAATTAAAAAGATATGATGGTTTTTATTGTTGCTATGAAAAAGATATGTTGGTTTTTATTGTTGATTTCAGGTGATATGTGTTTATTTTATTCACCTTTAAATATAGTAGAAAATTTATAGTTTAGCAGATTTACCCTTTTTTATCATCGGTTAAAAATGGTCAAAAGAAATTTTTAGTTCATGGATTAGTGACAGATGTATAATTGGATCATCTAGTTTATTAACAAAACCCCATTTTTCTTTACAGGTATTTGAAATCGCCTACCAATTGTTTCGAATGAAAGTGGGCACAATTGTTATGGTACTTCCTAAACTCCTTCTGGGCATCTTTAAATGTTTTGAAATTGTGTTGATCATTGTTTCTTTTATAGGTCTGAAAAGCGTCCGATTTCTTCCGTTTCGAACGTATGTGTTCTTCATGCTTTTCCTTAGGCTTAAGATCTAATTTTTTTGATTTGCGAAAAAATGAACTGAGTGGAGCATGTTTTTGAACCATCAAACTCATTAATTTCTCGAAGTGTATCCACTTGTCTTGATTGGAGTGCTGGTGATCAATAGGATTTTAATTGACGTATTTTAAAGACTTTTCAAAGTCTTTTCTACAGTATTTTATTTTATCCAACATTTCAATTTTTTGCTTACATTTAGAGTTTCTTGTTTCCAGCAAAAGACACGGTAGCAAAATGGTCTTTATCAAAATTCAAGCTAACTACATCTGAGCTTTTCACATTTAAGTCGGTGATAATATAATCAATCAAAGTAAGATTCCTGCAAGGATGCGAGGGCTCATTTTTGTTAACCGACCTTAATCCATCAGGGAAAATAAATGAATCGAGGTGATTCCGTTCATTTGTGTTGAGGTAATTGATGTTAAAGTGTCCCATTAATGTTACTGGTTTATGTTCCACAATTGGGTTATCTAGACTTTGTGCTAATTCCTCCAGAAAAATATCTTTTAGCGTCTGTTTGGATTGTATAGCAGGCATAGTAAGTTTTGTCGTTTGTTGAAATGGGTCTCTATCCATAGCTCTTCAAATGTACCTTGTCCGAGTTTGTTAAGATCATCTCTTTGTTTCATTTTTAAAAGATAATTATACCGCCTCTCGTTTTTTTTAATTTTTCGAGCTTCTATCTTACCTGAAACTTTCAAAATGTTTGTTAAGTGTCTAGACTTTTGCAACATTTTTGAATGTGAGCCACGTTTCAGTTATGCCAACTATTGCTGTATTGTTTAACTGATTTATCACAGTTGTTGTGTCTTTGTGTTTTTTTGCTATGCTTTTACCATTTATCGTCAGAACCTTGAGATTTTCTTGACTTTTGTCATATAAGTTCATCAAGGTTTCAAAACTAATAAGGAGCCCTGGATTGGTCTCGACAACGCAGCATCTGTATATTAGGAAATATGAATGATGAATACTAAGGTTGGTTGAAATTATTCTCAGTGATGATTCGTATAAAATTCGATTTGAAATCAAATCAACATTGGGGCTACTGGAAGGATTTAACAGAAACCTTTTATCATGAGCGAAGACGAGCAAATATGTTGGGATATGTTATGCTCTTGGTGCAATTTTTTGTATTTTTTTTGTTAACAATGATTTTTTTCAACCTTGTTACGTTTCTTTTCATTTAATTCTAATCATAGTCATTCATTGTTGTATCGCTAGTGGTGCGAAGTGCAGCTTCGCCTCTGTTTTGAAAATTTCAACCTTGACACCTTAGAATTGTTCGAGCCCTCGTGAAATTACCAAGTCAATTTGACCTCAAAGGCATTATTATATTTGAGCTGGACAACTATCAATTGAAAGTGTTAATTCAAAGAGTCGAAATTTCTATCAAAGAAGCACAAAATTTCTGCCGCCTTTTTATGAACTGGACGGCTTTTAGCAATTCAAGCTAACAGATCAGGCTAGGATTACTATTTATGCCAATAATCATGACGTTAAGCCAATAATCATGACGTATCGGAGCGCTGACATCAATGTTCTATAATTTTCAGAAAAAATTCTCATAGCTGAAAACGGTTTGCCCACTATGTTTGCCCACTCATATGAATTATTGAATCGTTCATTTCTCGTTTCGATTTGGTTGTTTGCGAATGAGAAACAATTTATGTTTCTAAAAGCCCAGACTTTTGCGGCTCATTTCTCTTATTTGTAGATCAAATCAAAATATAGTTAAAGCTACCATGCCGCATTAGCTTGATGGTTATTGTTGTTCCAAAATTTCCGCTGTTAAACAAATGAAATTTCCATAAATTTATAATTTACAATTTCCATAAATAATATAATTCACATTATTTTGTCGTCCAAATTTTATCGTAATGAGTAATATTCCGCAGTGAGTGACATTTTCTACCGTGTTTTTAAACCAACCTTCTCATGATTTCATAGTCTTCGTTTTTTCTGAAGGCGACATTGGTGCTAGCTAGTAGTTTTGAAGACTGAAAATAATGCCAAAAGTAAACAAAACGGTCAGCAAAACGGTTGCAAATTTGCAAAAAAAGTCAGCAAAATTGTGAAGAATCTGTCCATTTAAAAATTTCATGATCTGTTGCTGCTTTTAACATCAAAAACGCAAACTAGAATAACTGTGTTTTTTTTAAAACAGATCTACTCAACAATTCCCCCCCCCCCCCCCCCCTATGGTACATACTTAAGAATCTCCACCCCTATAAATAATTACAGTAAAATAGCACTGAGCTTTCTATTGAGAATTCTAATTTTGCTGCTTTCTGATTAGTCGAAAAATCGACCAGTTTGATCTATTTAACAATTCCCCCCCCCCCTTTCTTGAAGCAGATCTTAAGTAGATCCTTTAAAACTCCATTATTAAAAGCTCGAGCATTCAAGCTGTTGAGCTCGTTTATGGCAGACCGTTGCTGACATGCGTTTTCGGAAAAGTCTCTTCATGTCGATAAATGTTTTGCTCTCATGTAACAGCCAAAGAATATGGCAGACCTCAAACCACCAACTATTTCACATATTTTTCACAGAGCATAACGAAGTTTTCTATTGTTTCTGCTGTTCAAATCACTCAATTGAAAGGAGTTTTGAGCTAGGTTGCTGGTCTCATGCAAAATCAGTTAAAATCAATTAAATAAATGGGATCTTGTGAACAATTTTCCCACCAATTGCAATGGGGGGGGGGGGGGGGGGGTTCGTTGCAAAGTATTAATTCGTATATGCTTAACTGTTCAATTCTTTCTTTATAGGGGGGATTCGTTACAAGGTACCATGGGGGGAAAAGCTAACAAGATCCAATAAATGTCAGATGATGTCTAGCCTAATTTCTTTTCAGCTGTGATTCGATGTCAATTATTTTTGAAAAAGATTACAGGCCCAATACAATTGGTTTGATTTTAAACATTTACATTATCTGAGCGACACGTGGCTTAAAATTGGACAGGTATACGTTTTTATTTAAAGTAAGTTTTCTTAGAATAATGTAAATATCGATGGTGGTATACAAACCAGCCGAAGTAACAAACCAGCCGAAGTATCATAACTAGGGCAAACACAAAATTGACTTTACAACGTCAGTTATAGCGCTATCGAATTGACCTTAAAATCGCCCTAAATTGACTTCACAATTGACCTTAAACCTTAAATCGAGTTAACCAAGAATTTAAATTCGAATAACACATAAAGTTGAATAATGTAAACTGGTGTAAGCTTCGCACGAGGCATGTCGCAATCGTACATGGTCAAATACGTTGCTTACTGGCACACGTTTTCTCAGAAATATCTGAAAAGCACCACATGTGAACTTTCATTTCCCACAAATGTAGGTATTAGCTAGACAATTCCTGAGAAAGACAAAAAATTTACCTTATAAATAGCAGAAATAGCATTTATAGCAGTTACGTGGTGAAATTGACAAAATTGACTAAATAGCAGTAATAGCAGTTATGGTTGCCCTAATCATAACCAGTCGAAGACACGTAAGTGTTATATATCAGTTATGTAATAGTTATGTAACTGTTACGAAAATCATGCAATATTCCTTGATGTGACCTAAAGTTTCGGCTGGCTTGTATACTCCGCGGATTTTTGGTTAGCTTATACTTCGGTTTAGTTTTTCCGTAATTGTTTTGAAGATGTAAATTTTCTCTTTATTTATAAATATTATCACAACGAAATTGATTTCAAACTGCGTCAATACAAAAGATCATAATAAAGTATTTAGATTTTGCAGAGAACTAACTGTAGTTGATTTTACGGTGTTGGCCATGGTTTTTTGAGACTATTGATATCTGTGTTGAATGTGCTGTTTAAACCATACTTTTTTTTTATTAGAGAAGGTGAGATAGATTTATGATAAATTTGTTTTTGATCGAACATTACCCTAGTTACTACAGAAACAAATTTTTTCTTCAGATAAAAGTTGTTTGATTTAAATTAATGTTTTTTCAAGGAAAATTTTATCGTAAATAGCTTTTTAAAAGTTTTAGAGCAAACGTAGTTGCAGTAATTACCGTAAATTTTTTCTGATAGATCGATTCTAACAAACTACAAGTATTGACATTCACCATGTTGAATACATGTCTACATGGCGAATGATAATATTTTGAGTTTGTAAGAATCGATCTAGCGGTAAAATTTTTTAAAAAATTACTGCAACTACGTTTAATCTAAAAACATTTGAAAAGCTATTTACAATGAAATTTGCATTAAAATAATATTAAATTCAATCAAACAACTTTTATCTGAAAAAACATAGTTTCTGTGATACCTGAGCTAATGATCGATCAAAAACAAATCAGCAAAAAAAACTATAAGATATTTAACTCTTCAATTAGGTCTTTTTTATATTTCATGAAGAAAGTTGAGCCATCTACTCATTCTTGCGACGTTCCCTTTTCATTGTATTTAAGTGAATAAAAAAAACGACACCTCAGTGCATATATTTGAGAAATTTATTAGATTAAAAAAGAAAATTTTGTGTAAAAAGCATTGGAAAAATCTACAAACATGCAACTAGTAGACATTTTGAGTTTCCCCTCTAAAAATTATCTGAAGTTTAAACGTTAGTTTAATCTAGAAGCCATTTGTTTCCTGTTCCAGGTTAAGCTACCTTCATTACCCATTTTCGGCAGAATTGGTGTTAATCGAGCGACTTTTTCAAAAATTTGCAAGATTGCATTTTTTCAGACATTTTGCAAGATAGAGGTTATCTCGCATGATCTTGTAGGATGGAGGTTATCTTACAAGATCTTGCGAGGTTCTGCAAGATAACCAACTACGACGTTTTTTCTCAAAACCTTAATTTGAGCGCTAGAAATAAATTATGGAGATCCAATTTGACTACGGTCACAGAATTCTGCGTTCAAGTTCGGATGAAAAATTTAGGCTCAACAAAATTTGAAATTTTCATATATATGCTCACTTTTCAATTTTCACAATTAACTAGTTTCAGAATGTCGTTATAATTTATGCATTTCAGATTAAGATTTTCAAAACAAGTTTTTTTGATTTTATTGAAAAGTTTCATCTAGCAACATTAGCGATTAAATCTCAGTTTTTTGTTGTTTTTGTCGAAATTTTGACGAATAGAGTGAATTGAGATATTGTGTATGTCGTGTTCATAAAACTCCGATAAAAAGTATGATTATCATTATATGCCATTAAATTTTTATTTTTCTTTTTTTGTTGATTTGTTCGAGTATTCAAATAATTCTACCTGTTACTGTTATTGCTTCCTTCCAACAAAATTGCTACAGGTTGTCTTCTGTGTAAAGTTTTTTTTCCACAAAAAATCACATTTGAAAGATTTAGCTTGAGTTTACGCTGTATTTAAAGCAGGTTGTTATGCAAGATCTTGCAAGAATCTTGCAAGATCTTTTGAAAAGATGCATCCTCTTTAAGAGAATCTTGCAATATTCTTACAAGATGTTGCAAGATAACCTCATTGATCAACTTGGCTTCTAAGACATTAGCAGATGAGACAACTGGCTGTTTTAATCCACAAGCGAGCGCATTTATACGGAGAAAAACTTTGTTAAATCTATAGGAAAGAACCAAAAGTTGTAGTAGTACTATTTCGAATAAAACTTGTTCAAAATCTATTTATGCCTGAATCATTAAATTCTGCAATAAAATTTAGTCCAGAACAAGAAATCCAGAGGTTAACAAAGCCACCTTCTTTACCTTGAAAGTGAAGACTGAAGTAAATAAAACAAAAAAGAAGGAAGATTTTTTTGTACTAGAGAAAATTTAGCAAACATTTTCAAAATTGCTTTTTTTAAGGTAGATAAATATCATTTTGAACTTTTGTTGGCAAATGCGAGCCACTTAAGCGAGCAAACTGTCTTGCAACATGCTTATTGTGGTGAGAAAAAATTACTTTTTACTCAGTGTAACTCATGTAGAACTTGTTATACTAGCGCCTTCTTGGTTAAAAAAAATCAGAATAAAAAAAATCATATTTGTTTTTGATATTTTTCTAATTAATTTTCGAGAAAATTGATTGTCAAACTTATCTAGTTTATGTCCTTTTTTTAATTCCAAAGCTTTCTTTTAGATATGGTCTTTAAATACTCTTCTCGCACCAAAAAAAAACGAAGCGAATTGAAAAAAAAAGTTAACATGACTAATAGAACCCAACGTCAATCAAAAGACCAAAATTTACCAAAAACTAGCTTAAACTGCAGGTTTCTCACACTTTTATACGCAAGGCAACAGTTTTTTTAAAATAAAATCACAGATTATATATATATCCTAATGGAGAAAATTATAGACTTCAAGATATCATGCCAAAAATATCTTTAGGTTTCTTATGAAAAAAGAATGAGCTTTCTTTACTTTCTAGGATGGCCTTTTTACATGCTAGAAAGATCAACTAGCCTAAATGCAATTTTGAACTTCTTAGGATTTATAATCTCACTTCTTAAAGGAGTCCACACTCAAGTTAACCGACAGGCAAGCATAACTCGAATAAACTTCGCAGGGTTTTTTGGTCTTTTTTCTACTGCAAAAAAAAATGCAAAAGGTATCTCAATAGATACGACTTTAAAATTGATTGCAAAACCCAATATTTACGACGAGCCAAAAAACACAACACACAATAACCACATCAATACAAGTATAAAATTTACGAAATCCAAATTTTTCACAAATATTTACACCTTCAAATTACAGGACATCTCTTCCTTAGGATTACCTTTTAATTATGAACAGGATACAAATAGAGGGCGCCACATTGCTCATATCAGATGTAAACTACCAAATCAAAGACCTCTGATCTATACGAACAGCAAATACCTATGATCTATAAGAGCGGACAACAGCCTCTAACTGTTAACTTTCCTTCTCAAAACAGCAATGGTTTTAGCCAACAAT